GCTTGAGGTTAAGTGGGACCAATGACATGCTGGTGGAGAGCAGTCTTTGCCACTTCCAGACCTCACTCCTAAAAATCTCCCTTGAGATTCTCCATGCCGTCCCTCTAACCTCTTCTTCCAGCTGGATGCAGCAGATCCAATCAAGGACTCTGAAGTCCTATGGGATGAAGGAGCCACAAGACAGAGGGTCCTGTATTCTTAGAAGACTCGATGGAGCAGAATCTGTCCTCCCCCTGCTACTATTACTGGACTGTGATAATAAAGATAAATTTTATTATGTTAAGCTTCTGAAATACAGTAGCTGTTGATTGTAGCAGTTAGCCCACCCTAACATTCCATCCCATTCTTTTGGGAATCGTCTTGACTGTTCTGGGCTTTTCTTTAGTTTTTGTTTTTTTTTTTTTTTTTTACAGTTAGTTTATAAAGTTTTTCGGAGTCCTACAGGGATTATAATTGGAATTGTATTTATAGAAAATTTGGGAAGAATTTTCATCTTTATAATTTTGGATATGACTATCATATGTCTATCTATTCAGATTTTTCATGTCCAGATAAATTTTATAGTTTTTCTCCATAAAGATATTATACATCTTCTGTTACTACTTTGGAATTTATTGCTATTGTGAATATTTTTTCTATTACATTTTCTAATCTATTGCTATTGTTTTAAATGATCATTATTGATTGATCTTATGTTCAATGACCTTGCTGAACCCTTTCTTAGTTGTAATAACAGTAGTTTCCCTTATATATATATATTTTAAAGATTTTATTTATTATTTGACAGAGAGAGACACAGTGAGAGAGGGAACCCAAGCAGGAGTGGGAGAGGGAGAAGCAGGCTTCTCGCCGAGCAGGGAGCCAGATTTGGGGCTTGATCCCAGGACCCTGGGATCACCACCCAAGCCGAAGGCAGATGCTTGACGACCGAGCCACCCAGGTGCCCCTACTTCCCTTAAATTTTCTATGTGGACAACTTATCCATAAATAATGAAATATTTACTTTTTCTTTCCTGATTCTTTTTTTTTCTTGATTCTTATATCTCATTCATTTTTCTTTAATCCTGTTGCATTAGCTAAGACTGTCATATCTTCTAAAAGTTTGTAGTTTTGGGTGGCCTGTGTGGCACAGTTGGTTAAGTGCCTGACTCTTGGTCATAGGCGCCCTACATTAGAATTTTTAATGTTCACCTTTCTGTATATTTCTGGAATAAACTCTGGTAACTCTAGAAGTAGAAATTAGAATGGGGTGCCTGGATGGCTCAGTTGGTTAAGTCTCTGCCTTCTGCTCAGGTCATGATCTCAGGGTCCTGAGATTGAGTCCTACATTGGGGAAAAAAAAAAAAATCCCTGCTCAGTGGGGGGTCTGTATCTCCCTCTCCCTCCCAACTCATGCTCATTCACTCTCTCTCTCAAATAAAAAAATAACTAATAAATAAAAGTAAAAATTAGAATAATTGTGGTGAATTTGTATTGGGTCATTATTCTTAGAGAAGCTACAACTCTATCTCCCAGAATTCCCTTCCTTGTATTGTTCTAAATTAGGGTTGGCCAGAAGAATTTATGTGAGATTTGGCAGGTAGGAGTAAAGTATCTCTGAAGGGTACCAGTCATGGAGTAGCACCTTGACCTACTTTCCTAAGTCTTAGGTCAGGCATGAATTCAGCTTCATGAAGACTGGTACCACTTTGTTCTGAAGGCCATCCAATGTTATTGACTCTAAAGGCAGTGACGGAGAACATAGGATTCAATTTGTCCTCATTGGTTTCAGTTTGTCTTTGTTCTTCCCTACTTCATGTAAGTTCTTGACTATAAGACACACTGACCTATAGCAATTTTAAGCTCCCCTCCAGACACAGAGGCAATAGCTTTCCAAAGACTCTTCAGTAGCTCCCACAATTATATAGTACTTGATGTCTGATACCACATCAATCATAATGGATGTGCTTTGTGTTCATGCAAAAGTATAGTGTCTTTACGGATTTATAAATAGCATGGCATGTATATGACCTTTGCATGGCATGTATATGACCTTCGAGTGGGCCTCAGCCAACTTTTCATCCAGTATCTTGTCCCACCTTCCCTCATATGAACAAATGCTGCTTATCACATATGGTGTGTTTTAGCTTTTTTATTTTTTCCTATAATGGTTCTCTCTCACCTTCTCTGCTTGTAAATACCATCTCATTCCAGAAGAGCCAGTTCAAATGTTGCCTTCTCTATGATCTTCCTCATCTCTGTCACGTAGATTTAATTACTCTATCTTGTTCCCATGGCATATACAATTTTTTAAAAAGATTTTTTTTAAGTTTATTTACTTATTTTTAATAGGTTCCATGCCCAACATGGGGCTCAAACTTATGACCCTGAGATCAAGAGTCACATGATCTTCTGACTGAGCCAGCCAGGCACCCCTTAAAGATTTTATTTTTTTATTTCTTATTTACTTTTTTTTTTTTAAAGATTTTATTTATTTATTTGACAGAGACACAGCGAGAGAGGGAACACAAGCAGGGAGAGTGGAAGAGGAAGAAGTAGGCTTCCCACTGAACAGGGAGCCCGACGTGGGTCTCGATTCCAGGACCCTGGGATCATGACCCCAGCAGAAGGCAGACATGTAATGACTGAGCCACCCAGGTGCCCCTATTTTTAAATATTTAGATTTCTTAAATGTGATAGATTATGAAGGTTAAGAGAAGCATATATACAACGGAATATTATGCAGCCATCAAAAAATGAAATCTTACCATTTGCAACAAAGTGGACCTAACTAGAGAGTATTATGCTAAGCGAAATAAGCCAATCAGAGAAAGACAATTATCATATGATCTCATTAATATATGGAATTTGAGAAACAAAGCAGAGGATCACAGGGGAAGAGAAGAAAAAAATGAAAAAAGAAGAAACCAGAGAGGGAGACAAAGCATAAGAGACTCCTTATCTTAGGAAACAAACTGAGGGTTGCTGGGGTGGGGTGGGGGGAAGGGGTGGAGAGGGGATAGGGTGGCTGGGGGATGGACTGGGGAGGGTATGTGTTGTGGTGAGTGCTGTGTACTGTGTAAGACTGATGAATCACAGACCTGTACCCTGATAATACATTATATTTTAAAAATTAAAAAAAAAAGATTTTTTATTTCCTTTCTCCTTATGCTATTCTCCTTTTTTGGAAATCAGTACTACCTGCAAATGGAAATTCCACAAAAATCACTGACAGGAAATTCCTATTCATCCATACCTAACGACCAACATGCTATACATTTGCTTAATACTTAATGAAAACTTGTCAAAATGAACACTTAGAAATAAACACCCAAGCCCTTTTGTAAGTAGGCACGACTGAACAGATTGGAACTGAAATGAATATAATAATAATAATAATAATAATAAACAACATAGAGGAGAAGCAGCAGATATTAAAACAATTCTTCCTAGTTTGAGTAAATTACAAAAACTGTTAGTTTCTTACACTTGGGCGTCATTCTAAGATGTAAAGCAAGAGTTTTTTGGACTGACTCCTGGCTCTGCTACTTACTAAACTGTGGGACCTTGGGCCAATCAGTTACCGTGAGCCTCCATTTCTTCATTCGTACATACCCTACAGCGGTTTTTGAACGTGTGTTATTCTCCTGGCAAATACCTGGCACTTAGGAAAGCGGTAGTCTTTATTACCTACAGGGCGCCTGCCTTCGTACGCCTGCCCCCAAAGCTACTAAGCAAGCAGCAGCAAAAATTAGACCCCAGTTCTCCGATTCACACCAGGTCACATCGGGGTACCACTGAAGGCACCCCGAGGGTCTCTTTCGCTGGAAGCGGTTGCGGCATTGTGAATTCGCCCCACAGCGCGACGCAGCGGGAAGGAGGGATTTCCGCCGCAAAGGCTGGAGCGGCCGCGGTACGGAGAAACCGAACCGGAACAGGTGGGAAGAAAGCCAGCTGCCCAGGGAGGTATCCGGAAGCGCCGCGGAGGGGGCGGGGGGACTACATTTCCCACAAGTCCTCGGGGCAGGGTGAGGGGCGGGCGTCGGGAACAATACCGGACGGGCCTTGCCCGGCAATGCCAAGGTAAATGCCGTCAGTGCGGCTCCGAGGGAAGAGTAACTTACAGTCTGCGCTTGAATTTCCGCTAGTAACGCTCCTAACCCACCCCGAAGTGACAAAAAGGCCCTGGCAATTCGGGGATTTCCAGGCCGCAGGACTCCATCCCTGAAATCCCTGCCTGTCCCCCGGCGGTGGGGCTAGGGGCTCTTCGAGGTGCCTGAGGTCGCGGGGCGTTATACTAGACAGGTGAAGGCCCAGGGTATCCCTTTCTAGGGTTGATAATCCGTAGTGGGTCATCAGCGCTCTCTCCCCCGAGCCCTGCGGCCTATTAAATCGGGCTGAAGCTGGGCTGTATCCGGCTCCTCCGGGCAAGATGTTAGTGGTGGTGCGGGGGAAGGTGCCCTCGCTCCCTGCGGCCCCGTCCAGGGGCGGGCAACCTTCCCACACACCTTTGGTTACTCTCAGAGGTTCTTGGCTCGAGGCGTCTAAAGCTGCCAAACAATCGCGGCCCGAGCACTGCTGAACACTTTGATCCAGCACCTCAAATTCTTCCATCTACTCTTTAGGATACTGTAAAGATTGCCAGAACTCGAATGGCAGAACATAAGGTTCGCGCCGAGCCTATCCTGATCTAAAGCCCTTTCTTATGTCCCATCACGTTTCTCAAACCTTAACCTAAGAGGGCAGGCGCTGTGGACCTCAGGGCCCTGTCGCAGGACCCAGCCCCGCGTCCCCTGTCCCCCGTCCGGCTGCACCGACGCGGCGGTCCGGCCTGTTCAAAAAGCGAGATCCCGATCCATCCGCTTCCCTGCCTCGCCTTCTTCTCTGGCCCTACCCAGGCAACCGACAGCAGCGCGCGTCGTCGCCTCGGACGCGGGCGGGTGGGTGGAGTCCGCTGAGCGGCCGCAGTGGCGGCGGCAGCTAGTGGGTCCTTTAGTGGCTCTGGGGCGGGGCCGTGGGGAGCGCGCCTACTGACCGACGGACCCCGCCGGGATGGGGAGTGTGGCTGCTCCGCTAGGGTCCTGCGGGTGCAAGAGCGGCTCCGCGACCACGGGTGGCCAGAGCCCCTCCGTGTTGTGCTAGAGATGCTCTTCCTCTCGGTGAGTTGTTTTTCTGTGTCGGCGGGCCGACTTCTCGGCCTAGGTCACGCCCCGGGGAGGAGGAACGAGCTGGACCACCTCGTTCTGTGTGGCCTGGATAGGGCAGGGCGACGGGGCAATGACCAGCTGCGTGGGCCTCCTCCCTTTGGGCAAGTTGATCCGCGGCTGCGCTCCATGTTCCAGTTTCATGCAGGCTCCTGGGAAAGCTGGTGCTGCTGCTGCCTGATTCCAGCCGACAGACCTTGGGACCGGGAGTGGGGCCGGCGTTGGCGGCTGGAGATGGCGGACACGAGATCCGTGCACGAAACCAGGTTTCAGGCGGCGGTGAAGGTGATCCAGAGTTTGCCGAAAAATGGTAAGTGCGCCGGTCCCCCACTGGGGAAGCCTCCTGCAGAGGCCCGAGGCCCCAGTTTCCGAACCTCGCCTCCTTTAATCTTCAGCTTGTAGTCTTGCTAAATACAACCTCCTCGGTTGCTGCGTTTAAAAGGAATGTAATTGGAGGAAAGGTAAAGGGTGTTAATTTCCTGCTGATCTTTCAAGCACGAGACTAATATATTACCCAGATTTTGAGCAGTGTTTATTGCCGAAAACAAAAGTCTGTTACTTAATGACTGCGGATTTGGATAGGTTAAAAAAGCAAAACAAAACTGGGTTGGGGATGCTTGGTGCCGCATAAAGTGTACTGTTTAAGCTTTTCAGAAACTTTCGATGTGCTATATTCATTTGTAAAATTATTTTTTTAAGATTTTATTTATTTATTTGACAGAGAGAGAGAGAGAGAGAGAGATCACAAGTAGGCAGAGAGGCAGGCAGAGAGAGGGGGAAGCAGGCTCACCGCTGAGCAGAGAGCCCGATGCGGGGCTCGATCCCGACCCTGAGATCATGACCTGAGCTGAAGGCAGAGGCTTAACCCACTGAGCCACCCAGGCGCCCCTGTAAAATTATTTTTTAATAAATACATCTATTTGTGACTTTTTGTGTGTGTGCTATTCTCTTATTCTAGTGCTCTCTTTCTTATTCTTATTATTCTGCAAGAATAAGAAATCCTTATTTCTTATTCTGCAAGAATAAGAAATCCTTATTTTCTTATTCTGCAAGAATAAGAAATCCTTATTTCTTATTCTGCAAGGAAGGCCATTGGGCCTTCCTTGCAGCTTAAGGGAAAAGTCATTCCAGTTGTTCCTTTGTATTTAATGTGTCATTTCTCAGGCTACCCTCAACCTTTTTATCATTGGCTTTTAGCAATATGACCGTGATGTGTCCAGGTGTGTGGTTTTCTTCAAATTCATCCTGTTTAGCGTTTACAGAGCTTCTTGTAATTTTATGTGTTTGTCCTGTTTAGCGTTTACAGAGCTTCTTGTAATTTTATGTGTTTGACCAAAGTTGGGAAGTTTAAAGCCGTTATTCAAATATTTTTTTTTTCTGTGGAGAGGCTTGGCAGGGGAAACTTTGATCTTTTACTTCTTATCCTTCTTCATAATATGAATTATTTTCCACAGTAAACTTGTGTTTTTTTAAATGATGCTTTTAAGCACTATTACTGTGCCAGAGCATAAAACTCACTGAATGCTCACGGAATACACCGTTATTGCAGTATTTAATATGTCTTCTATTTTAATTAATCATGAATTGACTTGGTAATGATTATTCAACACTTTAATAAAAATTCATTAATTGCAGATTCAAAAGGTTTTGAAAACATATACACAAAATAGTATTCCTTTCCTAATCTCAAACGTGGAACAAGGGGAGGACATATGAAGGGGTTGTTATTAAGAGTGAATGAACAGGGGCGCCTGAGTGCCTTAGTTGGTTAAGCCTATGCCTTTGGCTTGGGTCATGATCCCTGCATCCTGGGATCCAGCCCCAGGAGGGGGTTCTCATATATTATGTGAGAGCACCTTGAGGACAGATTGTACTTTATCTGGTGTCTTACTCACAGAATATATACAATATATTAGCAGTTTTTGCTGTAATCTATTCTAATGTATATGTCACTCACCTTAACAAATAAACTTTTAAATCCTATTTTGATTTACTGAAGATACAATGAGATGAGGCTCTTGGTGTTTTAAATTTAGTTTGTTTTATTTAAATAGGTAACCATCTTAAAAAATTTTCTCAAAACTTTATTTCAGACCTTAAAAAATATGTAATCATTTTAACTGTAATTTCCCCATTTTTTTAACCTCTTACATAAAGGAGGACCATATTATTGAAATAATATATCTAATAGATACTCCAAAAGGAGCATATATTATATATAGATCTTTGTTCCTGTGATTTTGGACTTAATTATTCATTCTTGGCCAAACCTGAAACACCAGCTTTCAGCTTCTCTATGTTGTAATTTTCACAACGTTTATAAACTACTCATTTTTTATTCCTACACATTATCTGTTTATTATGCAATCTGTGAAGTTTTTAAAATATCTTTTTACAGTTTTATTTTTTATTTTATTTTTTTATTTTTTTATTTTTTTTTTTTTTTAAGATTTTTTATTTAATTATTTGTCAGAGAGAGAGAGGGAGAGAGAGCAAGCACAAGCAGACAGAATGGCAGGCAGAGGCAGAGGGAGAAGCAGGCTCCCTGATGAGCAAGGAGCCCGATGTGGGACTCGATCCCAGGACGCCGGGATCATGACCTGAGCCGAAGGCAGCTGCTCAACCAACTGAGCCACCCAGGCGTCCCTACAGTTTTATTTTTATACTAATTATGGTATAAAAGTAATATACAAACACACCGAATATAAAACATTTTAAAACACAACTAAGCAAAAAAGAAGATAAAAATAATCTCTGTGCTTACTATCTCCAGAGATATCTTCTTCAACATTTTGATGCATTTCCTTCTATTTGCTTTTTAGGTACATACTTATTTTGCAAAAATGGATTATACTGGATATGCTATTTTTAAACTACTGTTTTTTTCTCATTTTATAGTAGGTTGTGAAACTTTTCTCAAGCCATTGTTTATATTTTCATACCATATAATTTTTAAGGGCTGTAGTTATAAACTATCCTGTTGTATATATGTATCATAATTATTTAGGTAATTATTTATTATAAAACATTTGCATTCCAGTTTTCCCTGTTCTTAAGTATTGCAACTTATAGTACTCATGCATACAATTTGAAAAAAATTTTTTAAAGATTTTATTTATTTATTTATTTATTTGAGAGAGAGAGAGAGAGGATGTGCAGGAGGAAGGGGCAGACAGAGAGGGAGAAGCAGACTCCCCACCGAACAGGTAGTCTGATGTGGGACTGGATCTCAGGACCTTGCGATCATGACCAGAGCCAAAGCCAGGTGCTCAACTGACTGAGCCACCCAGGAGTCCTGAGAAATCTCTTTTTCTTGGATTCTTTTTCTACCACAGCACACACTGGTTGACTTTAGCAAAACTTCTTTATTCATCAAGAAATTGAAATTTGGCCAAGAGGAGTTGAATTTCTTTTTTTAATATTTTATTTATTTATTTGAAAGAGACAGAGATTGTGAGAAGGAGAACAAATGGGCAGAAGGGGGAGAAGCAGAATCCCTGCTGAGCAGGGAGCCTGACCCAGGGCTCCATCCCAGAACACTGGGATCACAGTCCGAGCCAAAGGCTCAACTGACTGAGCTACCCAGGTGCCCCGAAGAGTTGAATTTCTTTCTTTCTTTTTTTTTTTTTAATTTTATTTATTTATTTGTCAGACAGAGATCACAAGTAGGCAGAGAGACAGGCAGAGAGAGAGGAAGGGAAGCAGGCTCCCGGCCAAGCAGAAAGCCCGATGCGGGGCTCGATCCCAGGACCCTGGGATCATGACCTGAGCCAAAGGCAGAGGCTTTAACCCACTGAGCCACCCAGGCGCCCCAAGAGTTGAATTTCTTAAGATTGAAGTTTTCATAAAACAGAGTGTACATTTAACTTTTTCATTTGTTTCATTCAGTTTGGTTTGTCACAGTCTTTGAATAAAAATACCTTATTAAAAAATACCTTATTATTTGATGGGGCACCTGGGTGGCTCAGTGGGTTAAAGCCTCTGCCTTCGGCTCGGGTCATGATCCCGGGGTCCTGGGATCGAGCCCCGCATCGGGCTCTCTGCTCAGCGGGGAGCCTGCTTCCTCCTCTCTCTCTGCCTGTCTCTCTACCTACTTGTGATCTCTATCTGTCAAATGAATAAATAAAAAAATCTTTAAAAAAAAAAATACCTTATTATTTGAATAAAAATACCGCATTAAAAAATACCTTATTATAGTTGCATAATGCAATTATTCTGTATTTTCATATATTGCTTTTTTAAATGACATTTGCCAGTTATTTTAGTTATACCTACAGCATATTTATTCATTTATTCTTTTATTTATTGAGCTATGTTGGGCATTGTTATTAAAGTGTAAAAACCTCAGAGTTTTTTTTGTTTTTAAGATTTTATTTGTTTATTTCAGAGAGAGAGTGAATGAGAGAGAGCATGAGAGGGGAGAGGGTCAGAGGGAGAAGCAGACTTCCCACTGGGCAGGGAGCCCAATATGGGACTCCATCCCAGGACTCCGGAATCATGACCTGGGCTGAAGGCAGTCACCCAACCAACTGAGCCATCCAGGTGCCCCTCAGAGTTTTTTTTTTTTTTAATCAAAGGAGTACAGTTGGGGCACCTGGGTGGCTCAGTCGTTGGGCATCTGCCTTTCGGCTCAGGTCGTGATCCCAGGGTCCTAGGATTGAGCCCTGCATTGGGCTCCCTGCTCAGTGGGGAGCCTGCTTCTCCCTCTCCGACTTCCTCTGCTTATGTTCCCTTTCTCACTGTGTCTCTGTAAAATAAATAAATAAAATCTTTAAAAAAAATCTATCAATCAATCAATCAAAGGAGTATAGCAACTAACAGAGCCATAATGTTTGTTTCTATGTGACAGAAATAAATGATTATCTGAACTATTAATGAAATATTTAAAAATCACTATTAGTATAGTTAAGCTGATTTGTAACCTTATATTATTGATTGTATTCTCCAGGTGATGTATTTAATATGTTTCCAATAGGTTCATTTCAGCCAACAAATGAAATGATGCTCAAATTCTATAGCTTCTATAAGCAGGCAACCGAAGGACCCTGTAAACTTTCAAGGCCTGGATTCTGGGATCCTATTGGAAGATACAAATGGTAATTTCATATAGAGAACTATGAAAGGAATTTTACTTTAGTGACATAATTATCAGATGACTTAATTATGTGGTTATGTATTATTCTGAGCAGAAGTGTTCTAACATGCTAGATCCAGTTTTTATCCTCCATGTGCTTTTAATACAATTTCATGCAAATAGAAAAGTCTTGGGGAAGAGAGGAAAACAATAAAACCAAAAAGTATATCAAAGATAAAAAAAATCATTTTCAGTTAGTCTTTCCTGATAGAGTTTTTTTTCATTTATTGTAAGAAGAGAAACTCCCAAAGTCAATTAAACAAATTCTTTTGCCTCTCATACCTACTAGGAAAAATAGTGACTTTACTTGCCAAGTGACACTGTTTGCTTTGAGCATTTAGATGATAAGTAACTAGGCACATGACTAAGGGACTGCTATGCTAACTTTTTATCTAGGCTGTCCTTCCTGTCACGCTGTACTTGAATAGAAATTTGATTTTTTTTTTTTAAGATTTTATTTATTTATTTGACAGACAGCGATCACAAGTAGGCAGAGAGGCAGGCAGAGAGGAGGAAGCGGGTTCCCTGCTGAGCAGAGAGCCTGATGTGGGGACTCAATCCCAGGACCCTGGGATCATGACCCGAGCTGAAGGCAGAGGCCTTAACCCACTGAGCCACCCAGGTGCCCCAGAAATTTGATTTTTAATATACTTAAAATCATAAAATAGCCAGAGATACCTCTGTAACATAGACGGTACGTTATGAACAGAGTATGCTAATTGGTTAAGCATATCTGAAAAGCCACACATTTTGATGGCTCAATTTCTCTGTTTTTTGTGTTGTTGTTTTTTTTAATTACATTTATTTTTTTTTTTTAAGATTTTATTTATTTATTTGTCAGAGAGAGAGAGAGGGAGAGAGAGCAAGCACAGGCAGACAGAATGGCAGGCAGAGGCAGAGGGAGAAGCAGGCTCCCTGATGAGCAAGGAGCCCGATGTGGGACTCGATCCCAGGACACTGGGATCATGACCTGAGCCGAAGGCAGCCGCTTAACCAACTGAGCCACCCAGGCGTCCCTAATTCCATTTATTTATTTGAGAGAGAGAGAGCACGAGCAGGGTGAGGGGCAGAGGGAGTCTGATGTGGAGCTCAATCCCAGATCTCTGTGATCATGACCTGAGGTGAAGGCAGATGCCCAACCAATTGAGCCACACAGGCACCCAGAGGCTAAATTTCTTTACACTGAATTGGAAGTCCTTAAACTCCTTCGAGGATTTCTTAGTACTGTACTTTCCTCTAAGTTCTTTATGAATAGTCATAGATAATAGGTTAAATGTAATAGCAGTATGTTATTTAATCTGTTGTAAGAAAATTGATTTACTTTATGATTTTTCCTTAGAAATGACCATTGGTGGATTTAAACTGCTTCTGGAAAAAATATGTAAAAAGAAAGGTTTTCATTTTAGGCAAAAATTTCAAAGGACTATTCTCATTATCCATGAGGTTAAAAATGTCCTATGCCTCACATTTTTGTTTTTTTAGAGTAGGAAACCACTTTTATTTTTTCAGTGTGTCAGCTAGACTCTTATTTAAATTAATGGAAACTTTTTTTTTTTTTTAAGATTTTATTTATTTGACAGAGAGAGAGAGAGAGAGAGAGAGATCACAAGTAGGCAGAGAGGCAGGCAGAGAGAGAAAGGGGAAGCAGGCTCCTTGCTGAGCAGAGATCCCGATGCGGGGCTCAATCCCAGGACCCTGGGGATCATGACCTGAGCTGAAGGCAGAGGCTTTAACCCACTGAGCTACCCAGGTGCCCCAAAATTAATGGAAACTTTTAACCAAAACTTCTGTTCATTTAAAACATGGCTGTGATAGTTCATTTCATGCAGAGTTCTAAAATGTTCATTTCTGTTACTGTTCTTTATAATATAAAGTTGTTTTTTTTTTTTTTAAAGATTTTATTTATTTATTTGACAGACAGAGATCACAAGTAGACAGAGAGGCAGGCAGAGAGAGAGAGGGAAGCAAGCTCCCTGCTGAGCAGAGAGCCCGATGCGGGACTCGATCCCAGGACCCTGAGATCATGACCTGAGCCGAAGGCAGTGGCTTAACCCACTGAGCCACCCAGGCGCCCCTATAATATAAAGTTTTTGAAAAGTTCTTAGCAAATATTTTTTAACAGTCTACAGTGTTTGCTCTACAGTGTGTATAATATAGTCTCTGTAATCTATAGTCTAAATTTTATAGATGGGCTATATAATTACTAGTTTTAAATACTGTTTAATTTGAGAGCTTATTTACTCTAATACTTTTAAGATGATATATTTAAAGTGATCCTTTGAGAGCATAATATCTTTGTGTAGGCTTTAAGAAGAGAGACTGTTTTAAATTAATGACCCTGTAGTATTTTGACATAATGTTGTATTCTGGGCAATTGGAAAACGTGTCTTTTTGTTACTTGGAAATTCTCATTTCTAGGGATGCTTGGAATTCATTGGGTGATATGACCAAAGAGGAAGCCATGATTGCATATGTTGAAGAAATGAAAAAGGTAAGGAAATAATTCACAGCAGAAAATGAAAATATTTCATGGGACACCTGGGTGGCTTAGTCAGTTAAGTGTCTGATTCTTGATCTCAGCTCAGATCTTGATCTCAGGGTTATGAGATTAAAAAAAGAAAGAAAATGAAAATATTCAGAGCAGCTCTAATTTAATTTGTTATCAAGCAAATTAGCTGCTTTGTTTTAAAGAACAAAGAGATTATAATATGTTAGAATATAAAATCTATGTTATTGAACTTATTAGGATTTTATCTGTCTCCTAAATGTTCATCTTAAGGTAACTGTTTTTTCCTTGTGATCACATTGTAATGATGTGATTTTTTTTTTTTCATTTTCCCTGTCTTTCTCCATAGTCAACTTCTTCAGAAAGTTGTAGAAATAGGAATTTCTTGAAATATTGAAGTCCTTTTCTCAGGAATCTGGGAAGTACCTTGGCTGTCTTGAGAACATTTCTGCTTTGGAACTTTTTATTTAGGAGAAATAGTTAACAAACCTGGCCATCAGTGTTCTCATCAAGTTTGACCCACAAATTGAGATATTCCTATCACGGGACTTTTTAGTAACAAGCATTTTTCTGTGAATGCAGAGATCTCAGAAGCAGAATAAGATAAGGATGCTTTTAATTTCTCTGGTAGTTAGTAAGGAGGGCATTCCTTTCACTAGCTCTTTTAAGTCCGTTCAAGGGATTGTTTTGAGGAGCAAATTTCTGAAAAAATCTTGGATTTTAAAGAACTCTTAGTATCTTTTTATAAAGCACCATTTCTATTTTGGAACTGGATCAGAAATTGTGAGATTTAGGTCCGTTTGGTAATCTTATATAAATTATCTGTGAATAAAGAAAATCTGTAAAAATGAATAGTTCTTTTGCCAGATTGTTTCACAGTGTTCATTTCTAGAAGTAATTTCTGTTTGGTCAGTTGAGATTCATTTATTTTGTTTTATTTTGGTATCTCCTATACTGTTCAAAGTTGTGCCCTTTGTTAAATTTTCGCAGTTTTTATTTAGTGGGCCTGGTTTATCTATGACATAAGGCAGAATTTAGTCCTTTTGGCTTTTAACTATATCAGTAGCACAACAACAAAGGAGCCTTTCAAAAGCAGAGAAAATCTAAAGCCTTTTTGGTTTGGTAACTATTCCTTTTCTTTCTTTTAAATATCATTCTAATTTTTAGGACACACTTCTATCATGTAAAGTTGAATTGACCCATTAGGTGAAATTTACCCATTGTCCCTATTGATTAATTAATGATGTAGCCACAGTTTAAAGTGGGAGGGAGATGGATTTAAACTAACCTGCTGCCTTTTAGTTGTCTTAAGATACTTCTACTGGGGGTGCCTGGGTGGCTCAGCGGGTTAAAGCCTCTGACTTCGGCTCAGGTCATGATCCCAGGGTCCTGGGATCAAGCCCCACATCGGGCTCTCTGCTCACCAGGGAGCCTGCTTCCTCCTCTCTCTCTCTGCCTGCCTCTCTGCCTACTTGTGATCTCTCTCTGTCAAATAAATAAATAAAATCCTTAAAAAAAAAAAAAAAGATACTTCCACTGTACCTGTAGATTCTATAACTACCTCTCTGAAAGACTAAACTATTTCCATTCAGCCTTTTAAAATTTCATTTTTCATCTCGTGAATATAATAAAATTTATAGGAACCTTTTAGAGATAAATCTAAGACTGTTAGGATTGAAAAATTTTTTTTCTTAAAGATTTTATTTATTTATTTGACAGAGAGAGATCACAGTAGACAGAGGCAGGCAGAGAGAGAGAGAGAGGGAAGCAGGCTCCCTGCTGAGCAGAGAGCCCGATGCGGGACTCGATCCCATGACCTTGGGATCATGACCTGAGCCAAAGGCAGTGGCTTAACCCACTGAGCCACCCAGGCGCCCTAGGATTGAAAATTTGATTAGTTTTTGAAAATATTTTCAGAGATTTGCCTTCTGGATATCAGCAGATAAAATTATATGCTTTTAAGTAATGATGTGGCAGCAGGTGGGAGGTACCAGACTGGCTCGGTTGGTAGAGTGTACAACTCTTGATCTCACGGTTGTGAGTTTGAGCCCCAAGTTGGATATTACTTAAAAATATATCTATATATTAAATAATGGTGTTTGGTAGTATATTGTCCCAAAGATTTGATTACTGAATTTGGGAGATTTTTTTAAAAGATTTTATTTACTTATTTGAGAGAGAGAGAGGCAGAGGGAGAGGGAGAAGCAGGCTCCTCGCTGAGCAGGGTGCCTGATGCTGGGCTACATCCTGGGATCCTGGCATCATGACCTGCGCTGAAGGCAGGCAGATACTTAACCGGTTGAGCCACCCAGGCTCCCTGGGACTTTTTCTAATTACAGTAGTTTACTAACTGAACCATTTGTTAAATTATATTTGTAAATAAAGTTCACTGTGCCATTGCCCTTTAGAATGACTCTTTTAGTATAGATCTCATTCTGTGCTTTTGCATTCAAATGTTTAAGGAATTATCAATTTATATCTTACAATAGATAATGTTCTCTGGAAAATTGCTTTTTGTAATTTATAAACTATCCAGTAAAATATCACTGAAAAAGTTGCTGGAATCAAAAATTCTTTTAGAATAATTTTTTTTTAAAGATTTTATTTATTTATTTGACAGAGAGAGATCACAAGTAGGCAGAGAGGCAGGCAGAGAGAGAGAGAGGAGGAAGCAGTCTCCCTGCAGAGCAGAGAGCCCGATGCGGGGCTCGATCCCAGGACCCTGGGATCATGACCTGAGCCGAAGGCAGAGGCTTTAACCCACTGAGCCACCCAGGTGCCCTAGAATAATTTTTTTTAAAAGATTTTATTTATTTATTTGACAGATGGAGATCACAAGTAGGCAGAGAAGCAGGCAGAGAGAGAGGAGGAAGCAGGTTCCCCGCTGAGCAGAGAGCCTTATGCGGGGCTCAATCCCAGGACCCTGGGATCATGACCTGAGCTGAAGGCAGAGGCTTTAACCCACTGAGCCACCTAGGCGCCCCAAGAATAATTTAATAGGATTTTAGCTTTGAGGGAATAGAATAACTAATGTGGTTTGTGGGAAATAATCCATAGTTCTTTAAATAAAGTTAATTTTGATTCATAACCGAAACGGAATATAAAATTCTATTTTCTGTACAAATTTTACAGGCTATCTCTTTTTTTGTTTTAAAGATTTTATTTTTAAGAATCTCTACACCCAATGTGGGGCTTGAACTTACAACCCCAAGATTAAGTGTCCCATGTTCTACTGACTGAGCCAGCCAGCCGTCCCCAGATTTTATAGGCTTTCTTAATGAGGATTCCTGGAGAATTAACCAGAACTTACTTAATATGCATTACGTCTGTTAGATTTAAAGAGAGATCAGTGTACTCAACTCTGGCTACACATTGGAATCACTAGGGGCAACCTGTTTTAAAAAAAAAAAAAAAAAAAGCCAGTATAACTTGAGACTAATTATTTCAGGATTTTTAAGAGTATGGGATAATCGCTGTAGTAGAGGGAGGATTAGAACAGACTCTCATAAAAGATGGAACCTTTAAGTTACCATGGCTGAGGGTCTGGTCCATAGGTCTATAAGTCCAGAACATTGACTTTCTCTTTTTAAGGCTTGACTGATGATAACCGTCTTCTGGAGATGTAGAGAAAAGCCAGAATGCTAATTTTTTTTTCCTCGGAACGCTAATTCCTTAGCTTACAGTGGGTGTTCTACTCTTCTAGTGCACAGCAGGCTCAGGATTGAGATGTAGAACACTCCTCAAAATGTCAGAGGCACTTGGGAAACTGTAAGATTGTCTATACAACAGCATAGAACACTGAGATTTGGGTGACACTAAGAGATGTGTTTGGGATGCCTGGGTGGCTTAGTCAGTTAAGCATCTGCCTTTGGCTCAGGTCATGATCTCAGGGTCCTGGAATTGAGTCCCACATTGGGCTTCTTGCTCAGCCAGGAGCCTGCTTCTCCCTCTGCCTGCTGCTCCCCGTGCTTCTGTCTTCTCTCTCTGACAAATAAATAAAATCTTAAAAAAAAAAATGTGTTCATCTGACCAAAACAAAACAAAACAAAACCAAGTAATTTAATCTTTACTTTATAATACTGTGTATCTGTACCTTTGACAGGATATTTTCATCATACAGAATTGATATTTCTTACCAAGGAAATGTGCTGGAGAAACCTAGAAAAATTATTGTACTTTGGATGCTGCTTTGAGAGTCCATGTAGCTCACCAGTCTTCATTTGGATAGGTTACAGTCCAGTTGACTTGATTTAGTTCACTTACACTGTAAATAAAATCTTTGGATTTAAGGAGTAGTTACCTAGACTGAGATTTACCTGGCTCTGCTTGTCTTTCTGTGTCTCTGTCTCTGCTGATGATCTCGTGTGTGTGTGTGCGCACGTGCGACCACCCGCATACCATCTCTTTGATTTCAGCATTGGAGTGAAGGAAAGAATTTTGCAGATCATTCTTCTTGGGTTTTGTATTTTTAAAGTTTCTTCTTCAGAGAGTAATCTCCTAAATTCTGGGTGTATCTTGCTGTGACCATATGTGTCCCAACTGTATTGACTACTGAAATTCTAGCTTATCGAAAGAAAAATTACTCTGCTTAGATTTGCTTAGCACTGGCACACACTACATTTATTTATTTAGCTAGTTAGTTCTGCTTTTTGGAATCCATAATTCAGTCCATTACCTATGGGATATGAGAAACCGAAACAGATTTGAATAGCCCTACTTAAGGACAAATTTGACAGAGAGACTTTTTGGAGTCACCTTGACATTGAGAGATAACTAAAAGAGATCTGGTTTGAAAGAGGAATCAAAGGAGGTGTTAGTTGGGGTCAGTCAAGATGGAATGTATGGTTGGCTAACTAGATTCTATTAAGTCTTTACATATGTACGCTATCTCAGTACAGAATAGGGTAAAGGGTGCTGACTTGTGTTTGAATTGTATCTCTGCCATGTAGTAACTGTGACTTTGGTCACATCAAAGTAAACATCACCAAAAATAAATAAATAAATAAATAGAAAAACAACTAAAGAAATAAATAAACATTGCCTAATCGTTTCAATTTTTGTGTTGACTCTAATTCTTAGAATTATTGTTGTAATCCATACGTATTACAGATCATGTTTATATAATAAGCTATAAAAATGCCCTCCCTGGGGCACCTGGGTGGCTCAGTGGGTTAAGCCACTGCCTTCGGCTCAGGTCATGATCCCAGGATCCTGGATTCAAGCCCAGTGTCGGGCTCTCTGCTCAGCAGGAAGCCTGCTTCCTCCTCTCTCTCTGCCTGCCACTCTGCCTATTTGTGATCTCTCTCTCTATCAGATAAATAAATAAAATCTTAAAAATGCCCTCCCTAATGACCCCAGCCTTGCAATAACAAGTACTTCCTTCTAAAAAAGACATTTTGTGGTTAAAGCAATTTTTTGCCCTACTATCCATTGAAAGGAGCAGCAAGTAGATAATTTACAATGAGCTCTAAAATTGTAATCACTAACACCAGTTATTTTTTTTTAATTAAATTTTATTTTTTATAAACATATAATATATTTTTATCCCCAGGGGTACAGGTCTGTGAATCGCCAGGTTTACACACTTCACAGCACTCATCATAGCACATACCCTCCCCAGTGTCCATAACCCCACCCCCCAACCCCCCTCCCCGCATCAACCCTCAGTTTGTTTTGTGAGATTAAGAGTCACTTATGGTTTGTCTCCCTCCCAATCCCATCTTGTTTCATTTACTCTTCTCTTACCCCCTTAACCCCCCATGTTGCATCTCCTCTCCCTCATATCAGGGAGATCATATGATAGTTGTCTTTCTCCGATTGACTTATTTCGCTAAGCATGATACCCTCTAGTTCCATCCACGTCGTCGCAAATGGCAAGATTTCATTTCTTTTAACACCAGTTATTTTTAGCATAGTTCATTCTGTATGATCTCTCAACACACTCCCGCCTTGTTTATTAAATTCCTTGTATGTATTAGACGCTGGAAATAACAGAAGTGGTCAAAAACAGATGAAGGCCTTGTTCCACTGAGCTTACATAGTGTTGCAAAAGATAGGCAGTAAGCAAACAATAAAGCAGAGAGAGTGACTGAGTCTGAGGTTCTTAATTTTAAAGATGTAAGCGGCCACTTTAAACTGTGTAGAAGCTGAAAAATCACTAAAATTGTTAGTGATTACAATTTTAGAGCTCATTGTAAATTATTATTTGATTGCTTAAAGTGATAAATGTGTTCACCATAGTGATAGAAGTAATATATGTAAATGAAAAAAATCCAAACATCAAAAAAGTATAAAATGAAAAGTGAATCTTTCCTATTCCCTATTTCCTATTCCCTCCATTTTAATTTAATTAAGTGATAATTACTTTTAGTTCTATTTTGCAGATTGAGGAAACACATGTATGTATTTATATCTATATCTTCTCATTTAAAAAAGAGAAAAAAACCAGTAATGGCATCATACTGTTACTGTTCGTTAACTACCTTTTTGCCTGTAAAAAAAAATTCAGATGTTTTCCCTATCGGCACACACAAAGCTAACCTTAAATATCCGCAGAGTATGTTCTATATGGAAATATCTCCTTTTGTCTCTTACCAGTTGATGGCTACTTATTTAGTATGCCTTTTCAGTTAATTTACCTTGCTCTTTAAATTTGGTGATTCTAAATTGGCCCATAGGTGTGAAGGTGTCTGAAAGCGATGACTACCTTAAAGAATAGACAGAATAATATTACTCTAACCCCAGAATTTTCTATTGTATTTAACATTAGTGCCCTCAGTTTTTAATGCACAATTTATAGGTTATTGGGTAAAATTTCAAAAGGAGCTTATGTAAAAGAGACTTCAAAATTAAGACACTTTTCTTAAAAAAAGATTTTATTTATTTATTTGACAGAGAGAGGGGGAACAGAAGCAGGGGAGTGGGAGAGGGAGAAACAGGCTTCCCGCCAAGCAGGGAGCCCGATGAGGGACTCGATCCCAGGACTCTAGGATCATGACCTGAGCCACCTACGTGCCCCAAGACACTTTTATTTATTTATTTATTTATTTATTTTTAAAATTTTTTTTTTAAAGATTTTATTTATTTATTTGACAGAGAGAGATCACAAGTAGACGGAGAGGCAGGCAGAGAGAGAGAGAGAGAGGGAAGCAGGCTCCCTGCTGAGCAGAGAGCCCGATGCGGGACTCGATCCCAGGACCCTGAGATCATGACCTGAGCTGAAGGCAGCAGCTTAACCCACTGAGCCACCCAGGCGCCCGACACTTTTAAATCTTTACTATATGTGATACTTTTCTAGGAGAATATACACTTTAAGTATGTAATTAATACAGATACTTTGGAGAATCTATAAATGAATATCAAATCTCAAAAATATTATTAAGTAATTTGTAAATATTATATTATGTGGTACTAGTGTAGATCAGATTAGTAGTTTATGATTTCACAAGATTTCTTTTGATTACAGATTCTTGAAACTATGCCAATGACTGAGAAAGTTGAAGAGTTGCTACATGTCATAGGCCCGTTTTATGAAATTGTAGAAGACAAAAAGAGTGGCAGAACTTCTGATTTAACCTCAGGTTGGACTGTCTTACCTTGTTTTTAATCCAGCAACTGATCTGTAGTGCATGCATTAATATTTGTATGTCTAATTTTTTTTTTTACTTTCACATGCCAGTCCGACTGGAGAAAATGTCTAAATGCTTAGAAGGTAGGAATAATGACATCCACGTAAACATTTTGTTTCAAATTTACATGCCAAAGGGTTTTGCCCAAATATAACACTCAAGAGTTTTCATTCCAAGCAAATACATTGCATAAAGTTCAAAAATATTGTAAACGCTGAAGTTTTAATCCTTTAGTTATTAAAACATGACAGGTGGCTTACTGAGTATATACAAAATTGTAACAGAATTCATGATTTTATTTTGATAGATCAGACTTTCTGATTCACTTTCTGAATTACATTAACTACACCATGGCTGAAATGATTTTTAACGAGGATATGTTTATAGTATGGTTTAACTATATAGTGTAGTAACCTAAAACAAGAAATCAATGAATTCACTTAGCTTGTTTTTTTTTTTTTTTTTAGATTTTGATTTCGCCTTCTCAGGAAAGAATTGAAAGGTTTATCTTTTACATACGAGCAGGAGTTGAATAATAGGCAAATTTCCTGGCTTTAACTGTAAACATTTGCTCTTTAATTTTAATTTTTTTTAAGAAAGCAGAGTGAAATGAGCTTGTAAGAATTACTTCAAATGAAAATTATATATGTTTTATTTTCTTGGCATCCCTATTTACAAGGTATCTTTTACTAATTGATAGAAATTAGAGGTTTCAGAACTGTTACCTTCCCTGAGGTCTGTAGTTTGTGTCTGTGATAGTAACTGATAGACGGCCCACCGAGCGTAACGCTCATATAACCACACCCCCCCATCACTGATTTGCTTGAAGGAACCAAATTTTAACAAATAATTTTCCATATAAGTCATGCTAGTCAATGCAGAAAAAATATTATGTCCTCTATGTGAAGAATGTTTCCAGGATTCAGAGGGGAATAAATCTGGACCTGTTTTTAGTAGTATTTAAGCTGGCTGGAGGCAAAAGTTTAAACAACTAATTATAAAGACAAGGAAGAGTGAATAACGATAATAAAGGCTCAGGTCCATAATCCCCAAGCTATAATTTAAAAGTTCAAAAAGCTCGATGAACCAGATACTGTTTTGGCAACTCATTTGAGAGCAAAACCTTTACTTTAAGCAACCAAAATCCTCTATCACTTTTGCCCATTTTTAGCTTATACACAGTTTTAATGTGGCCTCTTGTGTCTTTAAAATCTAAGAACTGAACATGAACTAATTTAGCAATAGACCCTGACCTGAAATGACATGAGGCTATTTTAAATAAATCTTTATTCTTTTAGTGTGACTATGCGTATGTTTTGCTGTAAAAACTTTATTATTGTTTTTTAGTGGGAGCTGCCTTAAACTCTGTTGAAAGTGTTACATAATGTATAGTACATTTAATATATGACATTTGCAATATTAGAAAACTGGATTTTAAATCATATCTGGATTCAAGGGTAAGGGATGTGGACCTGTATTATAATTTAACCTATAACATTCTAATGGACATTTAGATTGTTTCCTCTTTTTTTTGTATTAACTTTTTAATTTTAATTTCAGTATAGTTAACATACAGTGTTATATTTGTTTCCTCTCCTATCTTCAAAAAATGCTGCTGATGGTAACCCTGTACAAATGTCATCTAATATATAGGAAGGTATTTCTGTAAGAAATAATATTAGAAATCTAATAGCCAAGGTCAAAATATGTGGGTGTTTCATAGTTTGCAGTTTTGACTTTTCTTTTAACTAAGAATGGTATTAAAAGTACCCGCTTAGGCCCAGTAGAACAGACGTTATCTGTGTCATATGGGCTTCTTCATAGTATACATACATAGTAAGTTTTGAAATCCAAAAGTATGAACTCTCCAACTTTTTCCTTTTTCAAGATTGTTTTGACCATCCTGGATCCCTTGCATTTCTCTATGAATTTTAGAATCAGCTTGTCAATGTTTTGCAGAAAAGGTCACCAACATTCTAATAGAGGTTGCAGTGAATTGTGGGGCATTTTGAGGAGTATTGTCATCACAACAGTATTGTCTTCCAGTCCATTTATTTAGTTCTTTAATTTCTTCCAACAGCGTTTTGTCATTTACAGTGTAAAATATGTATACCTTCTTTTTCAAGTATACTGCTAAGCATTTTATTCATTTTACTGCTATTATAGATTATTTTCTAATTTCATGTTTGGATTGTTCATTGTTAGGTTGTAGAAATACAGTTGATTTTTGTTGATGGACGTTGTATTCTGCAGTCTCATCAAGCCTTTTGTTAGTTCTAGTAGTTTTTGTTTTTGTTTTTTGTAGATTTTCTAGGATTTCATGTATACAAGAGCATGTCATTTGCAAACAGACTTTTTTACTTTTTCCTTTTCAATCTGCATGCCTTTTATTTATTTTTCTTGTTTAATTGCTGTGGCAAGAATGTCAAATATCATATTAAAGAGAGATGGCAAAAGCAGACATCTTTGTCTTCTTATTATAGGAACAAAAAAATGTTCAGTCATTTAAGATTAATTTTGATGCTCATTGTGAATTTTTGTAGATGCCCTTTATCTTGAGGAAATTCTCTTGCATTTTTAATTTCTTCAGCATTATTATCATGAAAAGTATTTTATTTTTGTCAGATGCTTTATCTGCATCTATTATGATAATCATGTGGCTTTTGCCCTTTATGCTGTTAGTTTGGTATATTACATTAACTGATTTTTGGATGTTGAGTCGGGTTTGCTAGTAATTCTGTGTGCTTTCTACACCTCTCACAGAACTGCTGTGATGATGCTATTACTATGGTCAAGTAGTTTTGCTACAACCATCCATTTGATGGGGGTTTAGGAGATTCCCTGTTGCTTAGTTTTGTTGTAGATGTCCGTGAGTGGTGGGCTTTTTGTTTCTCGGTTTTTTGGTTTGTTTTTGGTTAGTTTTTTTTTTCCTTGCTTTTTGTTTGTTTTTGTTTTTGTTAGTCTTGCTTTTTCTGGTTGTCAGGGAAAAAAACAAGGAAGTTCATAAACCATGATGCTGCATGGTTCTCGAAGAGAGAGTAGAACACAATGGCAATGGTGGAGTTGAGTTCTTACTCTTTTGTTCCTGTTTAAGATGTATGGAGATTTTGAAATTTAATATGTTCTTTGGGATGCAGGAAACCATCCAAAATGCATTTGAGTAAGTAAGAATGAGCCCAAAAGTTTATGGAGGGAGACCACTGTTCTTGACCAGTAACCATGTAGGAGGCCTTTATTATCTTAAAGAGTGATGGAAATGGAATTCCCTGTGTCTCAAAATGAAGTCCAGTAACCAACAGTATTGGCATCATGGGAAGCTTTCCAGAAATGCAGAATCTTACATCACTCCAGACTTACAGATTCGGAATCTGCATTTTAGCTGGATCTCCCATGCATGTTAATGTTTGAGAAGTTTTGATGTATTTACTCTCAACATATGACTGGCCAGTACGACAATGTATGTGCTTTTTTAAGTGTTTGATTGCATTAACTGATGCTTTTAAAAAAAGATAAATATAAAGCCTTAGAGGTAATAAAAGGATAAAAATTTTTAAATGTAGTTCAATTATAAATTGGTGAGATTATTGTATTCATGTTTTCAATATGCTAGCATATAGCAACTGTCTCTTCATTTACTATATATAAAGAAGATCGCTCATCTCTAACTTTACTGTTTTGATTGATAATTTTCTTAAAAATAACATTATGTTCTGTCTTGTTTAGAAAGGATTTAAGATAGCCTTTTTGTAAACTGATTTTTTTGTTGTAAACTGATACTTGAAGAAGTTTATTTATGGAATATATGTATACTTATAGTCTAAGAAAAGAATACTAGTAATTATATGTCAAAATTTTAAGTCTTCAAAATTATTGTAGTAGTTATTTGTAAATGACAGTATTATTTGTAAATTATAGCTTTATAGTATGTTAGAGCACTAGCGATTAAGTGATCATTTCGTATTTTAGATCTTGGTAATGTTCTAACTTCTACTCCAAATGCCAAAACTGTTAATGGTAAAGCTGAAAGCAGTGATAGTGGAGCTGAATCTGAGGAAGAAGAGGACCAAGAAGAAGTGAAAGGAGCAGAACAAAGTGATAATGGTAATCTTTGGATGATGAGCTAATAATTTAACAATATGGAGTGGTTTGGGCTGATCTGGTGTTGTATGAGAATAGTGTGTATGGTGGGATGTGGGCTGTTGATCTTATAACCAAGTTCTTTGCGGGCCAAAAGTACAGGGACAGTCAGCTTCATGCATAGACAGAATAGATGGACTTGAACACTAACAAGAATAGACTACTTCTCTAAAGGTGATGCCTGAAATGCTGTGTTAGAAATGTACTCATTTTATGGAGGGCCTGGCTGACTCAGTCAGTAGAGCATGTGAACTGCTGCTCTCAGAGCCCTGAGTTCAAGCCCCATGTCGAGCATAGAGTTTACTTAAACAAACAAAAAGAAATGTATTTGGGGTGCCTGGGTGGCTCAGTGGGTTAAGCCTCTGACTTTGGCTCTGGTCATGATCCCAGGGACCTGGGATCAAGCCGAGCCCCACATCGGGCTCTCTGCTCAGTGGCGAGCCTGCTTCCCCTCTCTCTCTGCCTGCCTCTCTGCCTACTTGTGATCTCTCTCTCTCTGTCAAATAAATAAATAAAATCTTAAAAAAAAAAAAAAAAGAAGTGTATTCATTTTAGGTGTTTTTCCAAATATGACTATCCATACATTACCAAAGAGAGGAGACAGGTTAAACTCTCAAGACCTTATCAAGAATAGAATGGACTCCAGAGAATTGGATACCGGAAGTTTTGAAGAGGGAACATTGGAGTCATGGGGTACTGCACTGGGGGGCCTTGTTAGTAAGAGTACCAGTAATTCTTGGGAAGACTATTTGAGAAAGTGGAGGCAGGAAGGCACTAAAACAAACGGCACAACTTAGTTTTGCCTTTACTTTCTAGTAAGATGTGACAAATAATACCTTCTTTGAAGGATATTTTTATTGACTGTGTGGACCCCTTTGTACTGCTGCGTCTTGTAGGGCAATTTGCCTATACTTGAGAGAGTGTAAGGATCTTGAGAGGTTGTTCTAGGGAAGCCTCACTGGCTCAGTTGGTAGAGCATGTGACTCTTGATCTTGGGGTTGTGAGTTCTAGCCCCATGTTGGGTGTGGAGCCTACTTAAAATAAAATAAAATAGCTTCTAGAAGACTGACAGGGAACTGAAGCAGTTTTGAGTGTGCTCTCAGCATACAATAAACCCCTCTTCAGAGAGTAGGCCATCTCTCTGATCCAAGTCGGAAATGATCAAAGGGATTATGCTGGGTTGGAGAAATGATTGCTTGCTATTAGGACATATATACAGAAGTTGACCTGCTATGAACTTTATGCATCTCCCTACTTTCTTATAGTAGATAAGAAAATGATGAGGAAATCTGCAGACCATAAGAATTTGGAAATCATTGTTACTAATGGCTATGATGAAGACAGCTCTGCTCGGGATACACAGAATGACATTCATGCCGGTTCTTCCTTGAGTAGCGGAAGTGCTGAAGAAATAAAGGCTGTAGATGAAAACTTGGAGCAAACTGGAAAAACTGCTGTCTGCATTCACCAAGGTATTGTCCCATAATAGTTATCTGTCCAGCCTCTTTCCTGTGAATGGCATATTGTTTTCATTATATTAGGATGTTTAGGAGTAGTTTCGAATTTAAAAACCTCTTATTCAGGGGGCAGCTGGGTGGTTCAGTCAATTGGGTGTTCGACTCTTGATCTTGGCTTGGGTCTTGGTTTCAGGGTTGTGAGCCCACATCGGGCTCTGTACTAGGCATGGAGCCTACTGAAGAAAAGAAAGAAGGAAGGGGGAGAGAGAGAGAGAAGGAGGGAAAGAGAGAGGAAGGGAGGAAGGGAGGAAGGAAAGAAAAAATTCCCATAAAAAACCTCTTTTTCAATAATGTCTTAGGGATTATTAATATTATAAGGGTGAATAGCTTTGAAAGATAGTGAATTAGGGACAACTTTTATATTTATTGAGACATTTGTTATTGTGTTTTCATATGGCATTTTAAAATAAAAATTTGAAAGTTTTTTACTTTTATTCCTGATGTTTCTTTTAACCTAAACCTCTGATTATATGATGCCTTTGCTCTCCATTCAGCAAGATAAGTCATAGTCTTTTCATATCTTAGGACTCTAGAAGTGGGCCTATAGTATGTATTTGATGAATTATGAACATTGCTGCAATTCAGTTAAGAAACCAGGAAATATATTCATCGACTATAACAACTGAACTTGAATAGTTGCATACCAGTTTAGGCCTCCTAGCTGGTAGTCAGTTTTCTCTTACAAGGTTATTAAGTTTAGTATGATTCGATATGGACAGTAATTGCATGATAAACTACTTTATAATCTTTTTAAATAAAAATTATCAACTAAATTTAAAGTTTTGTCAAGTTAAAAGAAAAAATATGGCTTAATAAATCAAATTTGTCTCCACTATGAAAATAATACAGAGCTGATAAATTTTGAGAATGGAATAAATGCATTTTTTTTCAATTAGAGAATAATAATTCCACCTGGACATTTGTTCATTTTTAGAAATAAATGATGATCATGTTGAAGATGTTTCAGGAATTCAGCATTTGACAAGTGATTCAGACAGTGAAGTTTACTGTGATTCCATGGAACAATTTGGACAAGAAGAGGTAAAAATTATATTTTTTAATTGGTAAATTTTCAAAGTGATATATCAGAATTCAGTGCATAACTTCTATTATTTATTTTTTATTATTTTTTAATTCTAATTTTTATTAAAAATTTTTTTTGAGAGAGAGAGGACACATGTGCTAGGTAAGGGGAAGGGGCAAGCAGAGAGGGAAAGAGAGAACCTCAAGCCGACTCCACACCCAATGCAAGCCCTGACGCGGGGCTCAGTCTCACCATCCCTAGACTATGACCTGGGCCAAAATCACGAGTTGGACCAATAATTGACTGAGGCACGGAGGCACCTCAACTTCTTTTAATAGCACAGGTACACGTTCTTCGTCACTTTGAAAATAACCCATAAAATATTTAAGCATTTCTATTTAAATTTTTTTTGTGACTTTAAAAATATATAATATTCCTGAATATTCAAAAATATTTAAATATTATAATCTGTAACATATTTGTATTTTAAATATTCTGAGGGAGGTGGGATTGGGGAGGCAGAGGGTAAACTCTTAAAACTAGTCCCTATGTTTGAAACATTGATTGACAGTCAAGAAAAGTGCATAAGTTTCAAATAAATCTGTTTTTCACACTGACTTTTTTTTTTTTTTAAAGATTTTATTTATTTATTTGACAGACAGAGATCACAGTAGGCAGAAAGGCAGGCAGAGAGAGGGGAAGGGAAGCAGGCTCGCTCCTGAGCAGGGAGCCCAATGTGGGGCTCCATCCCCGGACTCTGGGATCATGACATGAGCTGAAAGCAGAGGCTTTAACCCACAGAGCCATTCAGGGGCCCCTGACTTTTTTTTTTAAAGTGTAATTAACATACAATACTACATTAGTTTTAGTGTACAACATGTTGATTCAGTGATTCTATACGTAACTTCCTTGGTGCTCACCATGATAAGTGTAGTCACCATACAACTCTATCACAATATTTTTGACTCTATTTCTTATGCTATACTTTCCACCTCTTTGACTTATTTATTTTATAGCTGGAAGTTTGTACCTGTTCATCCCCTTTATCTATTTCACCCATCCCTGCCACATCTACCTCCCCTTTAGCAAACACCAGTTTGTTTTCTGTATTTAAGAGTTGTTTGGCTTTTGTTTGTTTGTTTTTTAGATTCCATACATAATTGAAATCATGCAGTATTTATCTTTCTCTGTCTGACTTATTTCACTTAACCTGATACCCTTTAGGTCCATCCATTTTGTTGAGAATGGCCAGATTTCATTCTTCTTTTATGGCCAATAGATGTTCTATTGTATGTATATATATGTGTGTGTGTGTGTGTACACACACACACACACACACACACACACATATATACACACACACCGTATTTTCTTTATCCATTCATCTTATTGGACATTTGGACTGCTTCTATATCTTGGCTTTTGTAATGCCGCCATAAAATAGAGATGCATATATCTTTTCAAGTTAGTATGTTCCTTTTCTTTGGGTAAATATCCAGTCGTGGTATTACTGGAACGTTTGGTATTTCTATTTTTAGTTATTTAAAGAACCTCCATACTGTTTTCCATAGTAGCTGCACCAATTTACATTCCTACCAACAGTGCACCAGGGTTCTCCTTTCTCCATATCCTCACCAGCACTGTTACCCAGCCATTCTGATTGGTGTCAGGTGTGTAGCGCTTTTTGAATACAGTAATGTTTGGATACAGTAATGTCTGTCCTTACCTAGGGTTTATGGTGTGAAAGCATTGCATCTAATGGGTTTAAGACCTCATGCTTTCAAGGGGCTCATCGCACTTAACAAATTATTGTTTGAAAGAAGTCAGTTTTTTATTTCACAGTTTCTGTTTTCAGTTCAGCTTAAATAAGTTATATAGCTTATAGATCCCTTTCTGAAAGGTTGAAATTTTGAAAGATCAAATAATTGCTTTGTAGAAGCTAAAAATAGAAAATGATTCTAGAATAACCATTTAGTGGAATAGAGATTAGGTTGGAAGTGCTGTTCTGAAACTGAAAAAGGTATTTGAGATAGGAAATATTTTTTATATATACATATCCTCCTGACATCACTGCAAACAAGCAGACCAATACAGACCAGTATACTTGGAATTTTGTTAGGTGGATTAGATTTCCAAGATTCTTTTTAATGGTAACAAATGTTGTTTTATTAAATTTCCAATAAGCTATGTACAACTTAGAAATATTTGCCATATACACCATTCCGATATATTCCTCCCTTTGTATAATACCTCGATTTCAATTTTTTCTTCCTCTTTTGACCCCTTAAATTTGGTGTCAGGAATATATCCCTAGTTACTACTCCCTTGCTTTCTGCCATCACTCACATGCTGCTGTTTCTAAACCTGTTATCTCCAACCTCTATCTCTGAATTCAAACTGCCCTATTAAACATATGCCTAAGAACCTCAATTTGTATTTATCTGTAACTATACCATTGTTTCTTTCTGTTCCCCTGAAACCTCTTTGTCCTCTGTATTCTTATCTTGGTGAGTATCACAAAACCATCTGGTCTTTTCCTTTCCCTTACTTCCCACATTCAGTCTTCAACTCCCATTGATTCTGTAATCTCAAAAGTTCTCAAATCACCCTCTGTCCTGCCTCTACTCCATTGGTACAGGCTGACATCATTACTACACCTTCATATCATTTCGTCGAAGAAGCCTTCACTTCCTGTGGCAAACACCCCTTGTCCGTCTTTTTCGTAACACCAGACTATGCTGTAATGATCTGACTTCTTTCACTCCCTTTTCAAGACTAGAAGCCTCTTGCAGACAGAGATTTTACCTCTTTCTTCATATTATCCTTAGAGTTTAGCAAAGTAACTAGAATAAGAATCGACATTTTAAAAAAGTCTCTTGGATGAACACTGACCCATTAGAACAGTTCATTGCCAAAATTCCTCAATTCTTTGCTCATGGGTAAATCATTTCTGTCCCATTTCTTCCCTATATAAAAGGCAGAAGATGAATTGAGTAACTCTTTTTTTTTTTTAAAGATTTTATTTATTTATTCAATAGAGAGAGATCACAAGTAGGCAGAGAGAGAGAGGAGGAAGCAGGCTCCCCGCCGAGGAGAGAGCCCAATGTGGGGCTCCATCCCAGGACCCTGGGATCATGACCTGAGCCGAAGGCAGAGGCTTTAACCCTCTGAGCCACCCAGGCGCCCCGAATTGAGTAACTCTTTAGAAAAGTATTTCCTGTCATAACTTTTTTCATAAAAGTTTTATAAAAACAGTAATTCTTCTGTTATCATAGAAACTTATGTTTATAGCTTTTAACTAAGTGTTGTTTTAAATCTGTAGTCTTTAGACAGCTTTACATCAAACAATGGACCACTTCGATATTACTTGGGTGGTGATCCCAATAAGCCCTTGGAAAATTCTGCTTTTCCTGAAGAAGGATCTCCTGGAAATGGCAACATTGGGGATATGCAGGTGGTAGCAGTTGAAGGAAAAGGTGAAGTAAAGCGTGGAGGAGAAGATGGCCGAAGTAACAGTGGAGCGCCACACCGTGAGAGACGGGGTGGAGAAAACGAGGAATTCTCTAATGTCCGAAGAGGGAGAGGTGTGTATTGTTTTTTCTTCTCACTGAGTCTCTTTATAAACTAGTAAAACGGGAAAAAACGGGAAAGTTTCAGGTAGGAGAGACATTAGAGCTATCCATTTAGAAAGGGAATGTTATAAATTATCCTTACGTAACATCTGACCAATTTTTCTTTACTCCTGGTTCTCTCCTTTGACTCTACAAGGCATAGTAGTTTGTCTCTGAAGGTATGAGTTGGGGGGCAGGGAACATTCCTATTTCTACATGTTTTACACAGTTTTTTGAGGTAGCCATCTTTATGTTCTGTCACTCCCTCTTCCCCCGAACAATCACTAACTGGTTCCTCCAGTTGCATTTCTGCTTTTATTTGCTACTGTAGGTAAAAATGTGAATTCTATCTTTTCCTCATTTCCCTACTTAAATCAAATGATAGCATTTAAAGCTAACAAATCAAGTAGTAAAAATAAAAGAACATTTAACAACACGAAGGTAAACATTAAGAATAATGGGATCAGGTAATAGAATAGAGTTGAATGGGGAAGAAAAGTATATATTAAGTATACTATATATAATATAAATTTATATATTTATATAATATATAAAGTATATATTAATTTATAATTGTTCATAGTTAGGAATGAATAGGTACTGTCAAAAAAAGGGAATTAATAGAAAGACAAATACCATATGATCTCATTTGTAGAGTCTAAAAAAAGAGACCAAGCTTAAAAAAAAAAAGACCTGGCTTATAGAGGATAGACAGATTGATGATTGCCAGAGGTAGAGGTGGGGTGGGGGGGATGTGAAATGCATCAAGGATCAAAAGGTAGGTTGCCTGGGTAGCTCAGTTGGTTAAGTAACTGCCTTCGGCTCAGTCATGATCCTGGAGTCCTGGTATCGAGTCCTGCATCGGGCTCCTGGCTCCATGGGGAGTCTGCTTCTCCCTCTGACCTTCTACCTCCTCATGCTCTCTCTCACTCTCTCGCTCAAATTAATAAAGAAAATCTTTAAAAAAAAAAAAAAAGTAAAAACTTGCAGTTATAAAAGAAATAAGTCATAGGGATATAATGTACAGCATGGTGACTGTAATTAATCATAGTGTATTGCATATTTGAAATTTGATAAGATAGTAAATCTTAAAAGTTATCATCACAAGAAAAAAAATCTGTTACTGTATGATGACAGATGTTAATTGGACTTATTGTGATTATTTTGCAATATATACAAATATTGAATCATTATGTTGTACACTTAAAAAAAAGGAGAATCTGTATATAATTTTATGAGATCATAAAAAGTTGAAGGATTATCTGTGCATCTGGTTGAAAAAATCTATATAAAACAAATGAAGACATGGGGGTAAAAAGAGAGAATTAATGGTATTAAGAAAATTATCATTTAGGGCACCTGGGTGGCTCAGTTGGTTAAGTGTCTACCTTTGGCTCATGTCAGGATCCTGGGACCCTGGGATGGAGTCCATGCTCAGTGGGGAGTCTGCTTCTCCCTCAAGCTTTGCCCCTCCCATCTGCCCCCTTCCCTCCTGCTCCCCTCTCCCCTGCTCTTACACTTTCTCGTGCATGCACGCTCTCAAATAAGTAAATAAAGTCTTTAAAAAAAAAAAGAAAATTATTGTTTAAACAATAGCCATTTACACATGCACCAAATTGTACATATTTAACAAAGAAGAGAAAGATCACAACATATTTTTAGAGCCTTGAATTCAAGTGCCTTCCCTTAAGCAATTTACCAAAATTGTATGTGTGAAGGGCTTCCTATTTATAACCTGACTTCACCCAACCTATAAAATAGCACAACTCCCGGCAATCACAGGGGTCCATAAAGTGCCAGACCCTGAAGTTAAACTTCATGAGCTTCGCAGTAAATCTGCCTCAGCATTGAAGAAATATTATTGAGCTGTTCTTTGTCAGGCTCTGTTCTGGGTTCCTGGGGATGCTGAAGAGAATGAGACTGTCTCTCCTTCCACAGAGCTCCTGTTCTAGTAAAGGGGAGCTGACAGTGAATAAGTAAATAATTCAGTTTGGTTGCAAATGGTGATAAGTGCTCCAAAAGAAAAAAATTGAGTAACTGGGTTGAGTGGCTGGAGGTGGAGATCACTGTAACTTGGGAATGGTCTGATTGATCCTGTCTTTGTGAGGGCTGGTTTGAAAGCTAATATAGTAAAGTGAGCAGAGATGGGAGTAATTCTCTAGGGTCTTGCATAGCCACTGACAGGCCCTCACAGAATATCTTAATCTCTTAAGGATGCAGGAAAAAAACTAAGCCTCTGACCAGATTTCCCACTTTTTTCCCCCTTGTAAATTCCATACCAGTAGATGAAGTGGTCTTTTCTTGAAGAACCACTTCAAAACTTACTTCCTTTCAACGCAAGAGTAGAAGTCTTCTTAAAATGACATCAAGCACCTCAGTGTTCTCTTTGGGGTTTAACCTGGCAAACAGCCCCAATTCCGTTTCTCTAACAAGACCACTTTTACAAAAACACTGCTCGATGCAAGCTTATCTTTGGGAATCCTGCTTCTGCTTCAGGGCAATGAGATAAACAGGTTCCTCTTTATTGTTTAAAACAAAACGAAACTGGGTGCCTGGGTGGCTCAGTGGGTTAAAGCCTCTTCCTTCAGCTCAGGTCATGATCCCAGAGTCCTGGGATCGAGCCCCACATCAGGCTCTCTGCTCAGCGGGGAGCCTGCTTCCTCCTCTCTCTCTGCCTGCCTCTCTGCCTGCTTGTGATCTCTCTCTCTGTCAAAATAATAAATAAAAAATCTGGGGCGCCTGGGTGGCTCAGTGCGTTAAGCCGCTGCCTTCGGCTCAGGTCATGATCCCAGGTCCTGGGTTCGAGCCCCGCGTCGGGCTTTCTGCTCAGCGGGGAGCCTGCTTCTTCCTCTCTCTCTGCCTACTTGTGATTTCTCTCTGTCAAATAAATAAATAAAATCTTAAAAAAAAAAATAATAAATAAATAAAAAATCTTAAAAAAAATAAAAACAAACAGATAAACAACAACAAAAAACCTCTACAAAGTTGTCATCCTTTGACCCAGTAATTCTTTTTTGATTCTCTTTTTCCTAAAGAAGTCAGTAGAAATTTGGGCAAGAATTTATATAGAAAGGCATTCATGACAGTGTAATCTATAAGCACAAAAATTTGGAAATATCCTAATTATCCAAAGTTGGATAATAATTATGTAAATTACTTCATGGTCTTATGGGGAATTAATTTATGTAGCTGTTGCAGTGTTTTTGAAATAAAATTTAATGATGCAGGTAAATGTTGATGATTTTTTTTTTAAAAGAACCCAAAATCTTGTGTTAGGGGTAATGCCAGTTCTATAAATATATGTAGAGGAAAAATAACGGATGGTTAAATAACAAAATCTTAATAGTAGTGATAAGTAGAATCTATAACAAGAAAAATACATTAAAAAAACTCTTGAGAGATTTATAATGCGATGAAATAAAAAATGACCAAAAAGGAAAACATAGCTATTTAGTGTAGCTTTTAATACTCTAAAAAAGCAGTCTTCAGGGACCCCTGGGTGGCTCAGTCAGTTAAGCGTCTGCCTTCGGCTCAGGTCATGATCCCAGGGTCGTGGGATTGGGCCCCATGTCAGGCTCCTTGCTCAACAGAGAGCCTGCTTCTCCCTCTCCCTCTCCCTGCTGCTGCCCCACTTGTGCTTGCTCATGGTCTCTCTCTCTGACAAATAGATAAATAAAATCTTAAAAAAAAAAAATGCAGTCTTCAAATTTTTTCCATCTTGTTACCTTATTAGTAAGGAATTTTTGAGAATGCACCCCAAATATGTAAATTATGTGTGAATTATATGCATTTAGTCATGTACTAGTGTACTAAGTACATTATAAAACCTTAGCAAGGAAAACTTCGGGTATATCAATATAAATAGAAGCTTATGTACCTACTATTTTGCTCCCAGTATTTTTTGTACGTCCTGATTGCTTGCACTCCGCTTTGGAGATTTAGACCTCAAAGAAATAACGAGGAAAATTAGTAAAGTGCACTGTTGCTACTTTTATAAGAATTATGTAAGACTACCTTGAGGCTCCTGGGTGGCCTAGCTGGTTGGGTGTCTGCCTTCAGCTTGTGTCATGATCCCGAGATGGATCCTGAGATGGTCCTGAGATGGAGCCTGCATCGGGCTCCCTGCTCACGGGGAACCTACTTCTCCCTCTCCTCCCTGCTCATGCTCGCTCTCTCTCCAATAGATAAATAAAATCTCTATCTCAAATAGATATCTTAAATCTTAAATCTTAAAAAAAATAAAAGTACCTTATTTTGCTCTCTTAAAATAGGGCATAGAATGCCACACATGAGCGAAGGATCCAAGGGTCGGCAAGTAGGAAGCGGAGGTGATGGGGAACGCTGGGGCTCCGACAGAGGGTCAAGAGGCAGCCTCAATGACCAGATAGCTCTTGTCCTCATGCGCTTGCAGGAGGACATGCAGAACGTCCTTCAGAGACTTCATAAACTGGAAACGCTAACGGCTTCACAGGTGAGCTTTTGAATTTGTCTTCTTTTACTGCTGATCCTGTAAAATACCATCAAAGTATAACCTGTGTTGATCAGATTTACACAAATCAATGTAATGTAATGATTAAAAATAAAAAGGCCTTAGGGGCGCTTGGCTGGCTCAGTCGGTAGAGGATGCAACGCTTGATGTCTGGGTTATAAGTTCAAGTCCCAGCTAGGGCAGAGAGATTACTTAAAAAAAATAAAGTAATTTTAAAAATTAAATAAAAAGGATCTACCTTTGAAAATATTGTTTACTAAAGTAAGAGCCTGATCCAGGGGTGCCTGGCTGACTCAGTTAGTAGAGCATGTGACTCCTGATCTCAGGGTTGTAAATTTGATCCCTATGTTGGGTATAGAGATTAGTTTAAAAAAAATCTTGAAAAAAATAAGATGGGCCTGGGACGCCTGGGTGGCTCAGTCGGTTAAGCATCTGCCTTTGGCTCAGTCTTGATCCCAGAGTCCTGGGATCAAGCCCCGCATCAGGCACCCTCCTCAGCATGGAGTCTGCTTCTTCCTCTCCCTCTGCCCCTACCTCTGCTTGTGCTCTCTCTCTCAAATAAATAAATAAAATCTTAAAGAAAAAAAAGGATTTTATTTTCAAGTAATCTGTTCATCCAACTTGGGGCTCGAACCCTCAACCCCAGCATCAAGAGACCAACACTCCAATGACTGAGCCAGCCAGGGTCCTCTTATCAGCTCTTTTTCTCTTATTCTTCCGACATTAAATACCCTACTTTGCCTCCAACATGGTACTGGTAATTTTACACTCGAACAATTTTCTATTAAGTGGCACTTAGCTTTTGGGTCAGGCTTTTTAAATTTTTTTTCCCCCAGATATTATCTATTCATTTGTCAGAGAGAGAGAGTGAGCAAGCAAAGCAGGGGGAATGGCAGGCAGAGGAAGAAGCAGCCCCTATTCTATGACTTTTTTAGAGTATTTTGTAAATGTTTACTGTCTCTAATGGTATTGAAATTCTGCTAAAAATCCTTTGGATTTTTAGTTTTCTTTTTTATTCTTAGCTTACATAAAGCAAATAGAAAAAAGATGCTAACATGTTAAGGACTTTTCCCCTAAAATTTGCATAATTCATTTGGATGAATAAAAGAAATAAATTGATGATAGAACTAAAGGAAACTTAGTTCGGTACCCCTAGTTCAGCAGACAAAGAAGGTGACATTAGTGGCAGAGCCAGCTCTGTAACTAAACTTCTCAGATTTCTCATGCAGTGCACTTTCCATCACAGTAAGCTGCCTGAGGTTCATTCACTCAATAAATATAGTTATACATATTTTTTTTTATAAAGATTTTATTTATTTGGCAGGGAGATAGAGAGCACAAGTAGGCAGAGTGGCAGGCAGAGGGAGAGGGAGACAGAGATCCTGATGTGGGGCTTGATCCCAGGACCCCGGGATCATGACCCGAGCCGAAGGCAGATGCTTCATTGAGTGAGGGACCCAGGCGCCGCATAAATATTCGTTGAATGGGTACATGCCAGATACTTTTCTAGGCAGTAGACATGTAAAGGAAAGGGGAGACAGCACTATGTGGCAGAGCTTGGAACGAACTACCTGGATTCAAATCCTGGCTCCGCTGTGTGGTCTTCAGTCAGGTTTTTTTACTTCGCTGTGCCTCAGTTTCCTTATCTATAAAATGGAAATACGAAGGGCGCCTGGGTGGCTCAGTGGGTTAAAGCCTCTGCCTTCGGCTCAGGTCATGATCCCAGGGTCCTGGGATCGAGCGCCGCATCAGGCTCTCTGCTCAGCAGGGAGCCTGCTTCCTCCTCTCTCTCTACCTGCCTCTCTGCCTACTTGTGATTCCTGTCTGTCAAATAAATAAATAAAACCTTAAAAAAAAAAATGGAAATACTAGTGATGCCTGCTTCATAATGCCTGTCTCAAAGTTCAGAAGGTGAAGTAAAATGCATAGTACAGTGCCTGGAACACTCCTGTGACATTTACATATTGTCCCATGAGATGATGAGTGACTGTAATAGCAATGATAGTAAGCCAGCGTGGTTTTTTCTTCCCTCAGGAAGTTCACAGCCTGAGAGAGGTCCTCACTTAGATAATTCTCTGTCTTCATATTTTCTTTGCAATGGTTGCAGCTATCTGGGATTTTTCCTTTCAAAAATCTTTTTTAAAAATTCAGTAATCCTTACTTTAATCTAGCAATAGAATGGTGAACAGAACATCTAAATTATGTGAAAGCTAGTGATAGTGACAAAGGTTCATTGCTCGACAAAACTTGAATCAGACTCCTGAACGTTCTTTTAGGCCCGTGTCTTCTCTTCTTCCATGTACAATCCGGTTTTATCAAGAATCTTGCCCAGTCAGTTTGACTAGCTGGGCTCCTCATCCTCCACCAGCTCCCTGGTCATGTCTGAGATCACTCTGGCCCGACTTCACAACAATCCTGTTAGGTCGGTTTAGCTAGAATCTACCTTACCCCTGATGTTTCCTATTAGGAATTTTCCATCCACTGATCCCAGCCCTACTCCCTGACATGGAATTCCCCTTGCCCATGCTGCACTGGGAGTTGAGCCCCTTCTGTCTCCTCCTACCGTAGAAGCCCCCTGTACCCATGAAGAAGGTCCCTTGAAGAAAGTCTTCTGTACTGTGCTTTCACACGTGTCACTGACGTTTTTTTTTCAACAACATGTATGGATAAATATCATTAAAGCAAAAAATCACAATGCTTGTTATACAGCTAGTCCCAGTGCTACTTAGATGGAAGCAAGCGTCCTTAGGAATCTTCATTTGCCTTTCAGACCCTTTATTACTTTGGAAAAAAATCCGCTAATAGTTAACATTTAATAGTTCTGACTCTACCTTAGTATTTGTTAGTAATTGCTGCTTTATTTATTTTTTTAAAAGATTTTTTTATTTATTATTTATTTGACAGACAGAGATCACAAGTAGGCAGAGAGGCAGGCAGAGAGAGAGGAAGGGAAGCAGGCTTGCTACCGAGCAGAGAGCCTGATGTGAGGCTTGATCCCAGGACCCTGGGATCATGACCTGAGCCAAAGGCAGAGGCTTTAACCCACTGAGCCACCCAGGCGCCCCAGTAGTTGCTGCTTTAATGACGAATAGTGTCATCACATTGGGATTTGGTCACCTCAAATTCCATTCAAAATCACACCGACTAATGTGACCTTGGTTAAGTCAACATATACCAGGGAGCCCAGTTTTATAAATCTGTCCTTTATGTACCCTTAAGGTAAATTCCTGGTTAAATATTGTTATGCATTGGGGCGTCTTAAGTGGTTCAGTCAGTTGAGCATCTGACTCTTGGTTTTGGCTCAGGTCATGATCTCAGGGTCGTGGGATGGAGCCCCACAATGGACTCCCTACTGTGCTCTGTGCTCAGCAGCGATCTGCCCAGCATTCTCTCTCCCTATGTCCCTCCCCACTGCCTGCTTGCATGTGCGCACTCTCCCTTTCAAGTGAATAAGTAAATCTTTAAAATACAGCGTTATGGGACGCCTGGGTGGCTCAGTTGGTTAAGCGGCTGTCTTTGGCTCAGGTCATGATCCCAGCGTCCTGGGATCGAGTCCCACATCAGGCTCCTTGCTTGGCAGGGAGCCTGCTTCTCCCTCTGCCTCTGCCTGCCACTCTGTCTGCCTGTGCTCGCTCTTGCTTCTCTCTCTATGTCAAATAAATAAATTTAAAAAAATAAAAATAAAAAAAATAAAATACAGCGTTATGCCTACAAGGTACAATTATAACTAGTATCATAAAAGATCATTACCTTGTCTGGATCCTTTCAGCACTTGTAATTTGATTATATTCTTCTTCAACACCTTAATGGTCTGTGAGAGCTAACGCAATATCTGGAGGGAACTACTTTAGTTGTACCTGTAGGGTAGAGTCATCCTGGGGCCTGGGGTCCTTGAGATCATATTACTTATAACAAGGAAGTGTAAAGCCTGTCTCCCTGTCACCACTTCCTCCCTTGTTTCAGCACACAGGCCTCTGTGCTGTGCCTTGAACTTGCCCACAGGCTCCCTCCCACCCTGGGTCTTTGCACTTTCTGTTCCCTCTGTACCGACGATTGTTCTCTGCACCCCGCACCCCCTTAGCCACAGAGCATACAGTTTCCTTTGTTGATGTCTTTGCTCCTGTGTTAGCAAAGCCTTCCCTGATCACTCTATTTAAAATTGCAAGACACTCCTCCTCCAACATGTCTCATCTCCTCTCCCTGTTTTTTTTTCTTTTTTTCCTCCCTCCCTCCTGTTTTATTTTTATTTATGGCATTTAAAGCTACCTGATATACTATATATTTTACTAATTTACTCATTATTATCTGTATCTCTCTATTACAGTATAAGCTCCATTAGTGCAGCACTTTTTGTCATTTTTGCTCCCTGTTGCGTCTCTAATGCCCAGAGTAGTAACTGGTACAGAATAGATGCTGAGTAAATATTTACTGAATGAATGAACTTATTAATTTTCATACCATGTTTTTTAAAAGATTTTATTTATTTATTTGACAGACAGAGATCACAAGTAGGCAGAGAGGCAGGCAGAGAGAGAGGGGGAAGCAGGCTCCCCGCTGAGCAGGAAGCCCAATGCGGGGCTCCATCCCTGGACCCTGAGACCATGACCTGAGCTGAAGGCAGAGGCTCAACCAACTGAGCCACCCAGACACCCCTCATACCATTTCTATGAAATTATAATAAATGGAGAAACTAGAGTAATAAATTTCCAACAATTAGAGTAGAAACTTGTTTTCTGGATGATCCAAGTTGGAATATGAGTTTCCTAAATTAATTTGAAATTTTTCTGCTTAGCTTATACAGCTAATTAAAAAACCGACAGTGTCTCTCCCCTCAGAAAATGTAACTATGTGAGGTGAGGAATGTGTTAATTAATTTGATTATAGTAATCATTTCACAATGTATATATGTACCAAATCATCACATATATATGTATTAATTATAGCTTAAATTATATCTTAATAAAGCTGGAAAAAATTTAAAAACAAACCTACAACATTAACAGTTCATTTCTCATATTTATCATACCTCTTGTGGTGTAACTTAACATGAATTTTCAAAACAGATCTTCAGATATGATTTATAATTTTCATAATAATCAAGGCTGTGGTTCTCAGATGTGTTTGTAAATGTAATTTTTTTTGAAATTAAAGAATAAGAAAAATTGACTAGGTAATTTAATAACAGTATAAAAGAAGTAATGGTTTTGATTAGTTTGAGGTTTTATTTTGATAATTTTATATAATTTGAACTATAAATATAAAATGTCAAAGATGTTAATTTGGCTAGGGACCAATTTAGGGACCTTGTTATCTGGCCAGTATGGGTTTCAGGACAATCAAAGCATGGTTCACAGAATGAACTAATATTTTAGCCTTTTAAAAAAAAAATAGGAAATAGAAAAATTAATATTTTTTTCTCATTTTTGTCAAAGCTGAATCACTTTCATTTGTATTTATAGGCAAAATCATCAACATTACAGAGCAGTAATCAGCCTCCCTCACAGGTAAGAAATTCTTTCCTTAAATCTAAGTCCCAAATCCCAAGGTTTCAAATAACTTAAAATGAATTTAGATTATATGAGGTTCTTAAGGTATTCCAAATGAAATCTACCCTGAAGAGCTTTGAAGTAAAACATATTTGCTGTGTGTTTAAGTCTAAAGTACTCCTGAAAGTCTGCTTACTGAATTATGCTCTAAGATACAGAATATCTCCCTTCTGTTTAGCAGGACTGAGGTTTGTTATTAAGTTTTATATTTTCAAAACTAGGAAATATCTATGTTTTTATGTTTATACATGCAATGTGTAATAGACTTGTGACTAGCTTATTTTATTTCCTCAGAGACCATCTTGGTGGCCCTTTGAGATGTCTCCTGGTGCATTAACTTTTGCTATCATATGGCCTTTTATTGCCCAGTGGTTGGTGCATTTATATTATCAAAGAAGGAGAAGGTAATTTAGTTTTATAATTGACAATAGTGTGCAGAGTCTTAAAGTGTATAGCAGATAGAGCTTTTAATAGCGGTGAAGAGGATAGCTCCATATGGATATTGTCATACTGAACATTCTGTACTAATCCTGAGACCCAAATTATCTTGGAAATGATATCTAGTGAATTTCTAGGTATCTGTTAGGCTTAAAAAAAAATTAGTCTGATGCTTATTTTGGCCCTTTGCTAACTTTAAAGGATTATAGACAATGGGTAGGGAGACAAATAATGCCTGTATGCATTATTTCATTTCATTTCAGAAGATTTTTAGCCCCGGGGCGCCTGGGTGGCTCAGTGGGTTAAAGCCTCTGCCTTCGGCCCGGGTCATGATCTCAGGGTCCTGGGATCGAGCCCCACATCGGGCTCTCCGCTCAGCGGGGAGCCTGCTTCCCCCTCTCTCTCTGCCTGCCTCTCTGCCTACTTGTGATCTCTCTCTGTCAAATAAATAAATAAAATCTTTAAAAAAAAAAAAAAAGAAGATTTTTAGCCTGATGGTTGACTATCTAGAAATAGACTTTTCTTTCCTTTTTTTTTTTTTTTTAAAGATTTTATTTATTTATTTATTTGACAGGCAGAGATCACAAGTAGGTAGAGAGGCAGGCAGAGAGAGAGAGAGGGGGAAGCAGGCTCCCTTGCTGAGCAGAGAGCCTGATTCGGGGCTCGATCCCAAGACCCTGGGATCATGACCTGAGCCGAAGGCAGAGGCTTTAACCCACTGAGCCACCCAGGCACCCCTAGAAATAGAGGTTTTTCTAACTTGAGGGCCAAAATTCCAGTTTGGGATGCCAGGAGATGCCTCAAATAGGTCTGAGAACATACTGGGCCCCTTGAAAGAACTCTTGAGATTGTCTAGGTTAGGAATAACCTGAGGCTCAGTCTCTTGGGTTCAAGAAAATCCTTAAAGGGAGGGAGACAAACCATAAGTGACTCTTAATTTCACAAAACAAACTGAGGGTTGATGGGGGGAGGGGGGTTGGGAGAGGGGGGTGGGGTTATGGACATTGGGGAGGGTATGTGCTATGGTGAGTGCTGTGAAGTGTGTAAAGCTGGCGATTCACAGACCTGTACCCCTGGGGATAAAAATATATGTTTATAAAAAATAAAATTAAAAAAAAAAAAAAAGAAAATCCTTAAAGCATTTTTTTGGAGACACTATATAAACTGAATTACTTCACATGGGTGGGCATATAGACCACCGTACCGCTTAACCCACTCCTGGCCTTACTTCCTTTTCGGTGTTTTCATCACCATTTCCCATTAAGTAACAACAGACGGGGAGAAGAAATAGCATATTTGATCATTTTCAGTGCTCTCTAATATATGTGCAGTCAAAACCCATTTTTAAAAATCTATAAGTTTAGGGGCTCCTTGGTGGCTCAGTGGGTTAAAGTCTCTGCGTTCGGCTCAGGTCATGATCTCAGGGTCCTGGGATCGAGCCCCGCATCCGGCTCTCTGCCCAGTGGGGAGCCTGTTTTCTCCTCTCTCTCTGCCTGCCTCTCTGCCTACTTGTGATCTCTGTCTGTCAAATAAATAAATAAAATCCTTTAAAAAAGATTTATAAGTTTAAATAATTATGGGTATGTTGTTCTTCTACCAAAGAACCCAGCTCCCTAGTTAACTGTTAACTGTACTTGCTACCAAAAGCCGAAAGGAGACATCTGTCCTTCTCTGAAAGGGATAAGCAGCACACTAGTTAGTGTTAAGTGCTCCTGTGATAATACGTGATGGCAGAGAAACCAAAATGCATTGGGGTTTGGGTGAATCCTTTCAGTCTTCCTGCTTACATTAATACAATTTGACTTATGTTCGTGAGAGAACTAAAGAAGTTCTGTGGTACATTCACGTTCTTGGAATACATACGCCCACTTGAAAAAACTTGAGTAGGAGTTCAGAAACAAAAACTGCTCTCACAGTGTTATTTACCTCTTTTCTAAGTCATTTGTATAGATGTCATTTAAGCTGTGTGAAGGGTGGGTGTCAGGGTTCGATAAACCTTTGTCTAAGTCCTTTCTTTTCTTCTTTTCACACATTTTACATCTCCCATGATGGTTGGGTTTAGTGATACACTGTGTTTTTTTGTTTTGTTTTGTTTTAAGATTTTATTTAGCAACAGAGAGAGCATGGGGGTGGTGCAGCGGAGGGAGAGGGAGGAGCAGGCTCTCCCACTGAGCAGGGAGCCCGACATGGGGCTTGTTGATCCCAGGATCCCGAGATCATGACCTAAGCTGAAGGCAGATGCTTTACCAACGGAGCTACCCAGGTGCCCCTCACACAGTGTTTTAAACTTTAATTTCCCTGATAAATGAAGGGAAAAAGAACCCAGCCTCTTTTCACTATGTAGTAAGAGTGCTAGACTCAAGCAGCAGGACACAGTGGCACTAAAGTTAGGTGTTGACATATTTTGCAATGTATTTCAAAGTACCTTTTCAGGTTTCCTTTGTCGAAAGTTGAGGATTGGAGAGTAGAGGAATTTGGCACAAACAAAACCCCTGAAGCTTACTTGGGTTAATAATTTGTGTTATGCTAAAGTTTGTAATAGCTTGTCACTTTATTAAAGACAGAAAAAACAATGACTTTGCTTCAGCGGTCACCAAAAACTATGGTTTTTCTGTAAGCATTTTTTTAAGATCCTCCTTACTGATAGACATTTATACCATTTCTCCTAAGTATCCCTTTCAGTTGCTTCCAGATGTCTCTGAATGGAAAAACGCTCCCTATTAATATTCTACTTTGTTATCGTTGAACCTTCATCAAGTTTTCAATGTGTTAAGTGTTTAGTCTTTCCAAATTACCAGTTATTTACCACCGCGCAACTGCATTTTGATGAGATAGTTGTTGTTTTTTAAGATTTGTTTATTTGAGAGAGAGAGCAAGCAGAGGGGAGGGGCAGAAGGAGAGAGAGAGAGAATCTCAAGCAGACTCCCCACTGAGCACGGAGTCTGACACGGGCCAGTTGATCCCAGACCCTGAGATTATATGACCTGAGCCAAAATCAAGTGTCTGATGCTCAGCTCACTGAGCCACCCAGGTGCAGTGTTTTTTACCTATTTGTTTATATACGTAACAAATTAACTGGGGTCAGAGGTAGAGCCATTGATATGCAAATATGTTTCAGCCCTGAGGGGACTTAGACATCTTTTCATCTGAAAGTGTGTAGCAATTTTTAATCTGACAGTTACAGGAATGAAAAATAGAAAACAGTGTGTATGGTTTGGAGGAGATGGGTTCTGTGTTAGAGATGAGGAGAAAAATCCAGAAATCCAGTTAGAGTGGCAAAGGTGTGGAAAGGAGTGGGTGTGCCAAGAAGTGGGTGTGCCCTATTCATGATAGGGACCGTCCTGTGCCTTGACCTCTCAGACAGTGTCTGGCATGTAGTGGGTTCTCAGTAAATGTGTGCAGAGTGCCTGGCTGAATGCCCACTATTTGTAGGAGTTCACATTGAAGTACTGTCTGATACAGAAAGCTTTGTTTTATTTAATTATTTATTTATTAAAAAAAATTTTTTCCCCCATTTTATTTAATAAATAGGCATCTGGGTACAGGCACTCTGAGAACATTCCATATATATTTAAAATAAGCAGCTGTCTATTTGTGGTAAGCTTTTTGAAAAGATGTTTTCTTTCTTTCTTTCTTTTTTTTTTTAAAGATTTTATTTATTTATTTGACAGAGAGAGATCACAAGTAGGCAGAGAGGCAGGCAGAGAGAGAGGGGGAAGCAGGCTCCTTGCTGAGCAGAGAGCCCAATGTGGGGCTCGATCCCAGGACCCTGGGATCATGACCTGAGCCAAAAGCAGAGGCTTTAACCCACTGAGCCCCCCAGGTGCCCTCTTTTTTTAATTTAATTTAATTTTATTTATTTATTTGACAGAGAGAGAGATTATAAGTAGGCAGAGAGGCAGGCAGAGAGGCAGGGGGTGGGGAAGCAGGCTCCCCGCTGAGCAGAGAGCCTGATGGAGGACTCGATCGCAGGACGCCGAGATCATGACCCCAGCCGAAGGCAGAGGCCTAACCCACTGAGCCACCCAGGCGCCCCGAAAAGATGTTTTCTTAAACATTAAAAGTAGTGTGTGAGGTCCACTGCTTGATTTTCTTTTCTCCCCAGTATAGACAAATCTAAATTCAAAGTAAATTGCTCACAGGGTGCCTGGGTGGCTCAGTCTGTTAAGTGTCTGCCTTCAGCTCAGGTCATCAAAGGGGGTCCTGGAATCGAGTTCCGCCTCGGGCTCCCTGCTCAGCGGGGAGTCTGGTCTCCCTCTCCCTCTGCCTGCCACCCCCCTGCTTATGCACCCTCTCTCTCCAATAAATAAAATCTTAAAAAAAAAAAGTATATTGCTTGCATTATCACTCTGCAGTGGATCAAGAAAAAAAAAAAAACAAAAAAAACAGCCCCCAAACCAAAAAAAGATGTTTTTTCTGAATGTGGTATGAACAGTAGCACCTGCAGACTTGTTCAGAAGTTGGCCTTGTGGAGCCTCCTGTGTTTCTGCCTCTTCCCAGGTCCCCAGCCTGAACATTCTAGTAAAATTATCCCAAGTAAAATACTAAAAGCCACCCAATTAAGTCCAAAAGACTACTCTTGAGCTATTACTTTGAAGGGAAGGATATTTGTAACCACTTTTCTTTTTCATTCTGCCCAGGTCCATAAATACACATGTAAATTTTTTGAAGCACTAAGCTTTCAGTAGAGAGGTTCTAGAAACAGAGTAGGCGTAGGGAGGATCTCTGCATGAACATTCTTCAGGTGGAGCTCAGGGCAGATGGTCCTGCCTGGAAAAGTCAGGCTTCTGCTTCTGAGGAGGGGAGAGGATCTCATCAGTACCGCTGAGCAGATCCTTGAGCGGCCGGGCGAAAGGCATGATGTTTCCCTCTACCCTTAATCAGTGGTTTTCTGTAACTTTTCTTCTCTTATCACACCATATCCTACATTTTGCAATTTCATTTAAAAAGAAAAGACACAAAGATCTCAGGAAGAGCCTTGAAAAACATACTAAAGTTCTGAAAATACCGATGGCGATTTGTGTCTATTTCCTTATTACAGGAGAAGATTGAGGGTTCAGAGAGTTGTGTGCTTTTTTTGTAAATCTGCAGAGGATTTTGCTTAGTAATCTACATCACATGGGTTCTTAGTAAGTGTTGCTAACTGTTCATGCACCTTTCTGCTAACGTTTCGCTAAAGCCTCCCTCAAGCTGTTAGTCTTTGGAACCAACCCGCAATTCTGGGGACGCCTGGGTGGCTCAGTCAGTTAAGCATCTGCCTTCATCTCGGGTCATGATCTCAGGGTCCTGGGATCCAGCCGCAGCCCCATTTGGGCTCTTTGCTCAGCAGGGAGCCTGCTTCTCCCTCTCCCATTGTGCCTCCCCCCAGTTCGGGCATGCACATGCTCTCTCTCTCTCTCTTTCTCAGATAAAGAAATAAAATCTTCAAGAAAAAAAAAGGGCCACGCACAATTCTGTTCTGGCTCCAGGGGCCTTTTTTTCCCCTTCATGCCTTGAGGGCTCTCCTTATGTTATGTGAAAATTGATCTGATTATTTAAAATATCATGCCTGCCAAGGAAGTATACCTAAGAGACTTTGTACAGAAGATAAAGGATGATGGTATTATCTAAAATATCACTCCCGCCAAGGAGTTGCATAAGAGCATTTCTCCCGAGGTGAGGAACAAATGTGTGTTGAGAATGTTTCAGCCGTTTTGGCATCTTGAATTCTGGGAAGGGAAGAGAGATTTTATAGCTGTGGGACCCTTCTCAGACTTAGGATCATCCGTGAATTGTTTTGACTTGTGCTAATAAGCCTACCCTTCTCCAGTCACTCATTCATTCTGCTATCAATAAAACCGTCATATTTTACCTTCCAAATTGTAGTTTTTATGTCTCCCCCCGACCCCCAAGCTAACCTGAGAGCTCTCTTGAAAGTTGAGAGCCTGACTCATTTATGTTTGAATCCCCAGTGCTTGGCACAGTGCCTGGAAAGTAACAGACACAAAATATATGTTGATTTTTTTTTTAAAGATTTTATTTATTTATTTGACAGAGAGAGATCACAAGTAGGCAGAGAGGCAGGCAGAGAGAGGAGGAAGCTGGCCTCCCGCTGAGCAGAGAGCCCGATGCGGGGCTCGATCCCAGGACCCTGAGATCATGACCTGAGCCGAAGGCAGAGGCCTTAACCCACTGAGCCACCCAGGCGCCCCATATGTTGATTTTTTTTAAAGAAGATTTTTATTTACTTATTTGACAGAGAGAGTGCATCAGTAGGGGGAGCGGCAGTAAGAGGGAGAAGGAGAGACAGGCTCCCCGCTGGGCAGAGCGCCCTATCCGGGACTTGATTCTAGGACCCTGGGATCATGACCTGAGCTGAGGGCAGACGCTTAACTAGCTGAGCCCCCTACGCACCCCAGTATATGTTGATTAAATGAATAGTCTAGGTTATACATCTATTAGGCTTTTATAGTCTTACTCAGCTTTTTTGTTTCACAGAGTTTGCAAGTTATAAAATAATTCCCAAAACTCTGAATTGCGTTAAGCCAACTTAGAAAAGGATGAGAAGAGGGGCGCCTGGGTGGCTCAGTGGGTTAGGCCGCTGCCTTCGGCTCAGGTCATGATCTCAGGGTCCTGGGATCGAGCCCCGCATCGGGCTCTCTGCTCAGCAGGGAGCCTGCTTCCTCCTCTCTCTCTACCTGCCTCTGCCTGCTTGTGATCGCTCTCTGTCAAATAAATAAATAAAATCTTAAAAAAAAAAAAAAAGAAAAGGATGAGAAGTAATTTCTTAAGGACTGTTGGTAATTTTATGGTTTGCTACTGAATGTGAATATTATTATATGTGATTTTTCAGAGAATTCTTTGGCATGGATGTGTTTTGTATTCAGGTTGCATTTATATTCATAGGAAATTGGTTTTTACTTTCTTTTTAAAGAAAACTGAACTGAAGGAAATGGTATTTTACCCAAGAAGACTACTGGGCCTGAATGACCTCAGAATGAAATGGAATGTGGAACTCACGAGAAATCTCAGTTTGTGATGATTACACTTCATTTTGTCATCCAATAGTTTGGTTTGTGTACATATATACATATATATATTTTGCACTACACAAATGATAACATTTTAAGGACTAATATTGCTGATACTTGAATAATTAATCTCAACTAGGTTATAAGTAGCATACATAGATTTGCCCTACCCTTGAACTTGAAGGACATTAAATTATTAATTATTGTTTGGTAACATGTTTACCTGATTATCTCCCATAGAGAACTATAAGCTGCTTTTCCAAGGTACAGTTGTGATAATGAGATGAGATTTATAACTGGATATTTTTAATTTTCTAAATTAACTATGAGGAAGAATGCAAACCAGGCGTGAATTTCAAATGAGATTAAATCAACTTTCTATCTTATTCACTGAATTGCCATGCCAAGGAATAGAAAACTGCTGGAAGAATCTTCTCCACATCCAGTCTGTGGGCTGCCCCTAATCTCTCCTAGGCATTCATAGTGCTGACTTAGGGTTCAGGCATCGTTATTACAGAGTAGAGTCCTACGTATGAGGCTTACTTTTTACACATGAACACAAATTAGACATTACCCGCTGACAGGGATGATGAAGAATTGGCTTCAAGTAGGTCTGAAAGTATACTCTGAGCCTGTAGATCATTGATAAGATTTTATTCAATCGTATACATTTATTCCTTTGTAATCGCTTTTCTTTAACTGAGGATATCTTGTTTCTGCTTCATAGGGTGCTTTGAAATATAAAATGAAAACTTATTTATACTGTTTTTACAAAGGTCAAAAAGGAAACACATGAAAATCACTTTTCTGCAACTGGCAAACTACACAGATGGGACTCTTAACCTCCTAGTGCCTCCGTTTTTCCTTCGGGGTATAATATTTGAGATACACCTATTTCACAAGGGTGATGGAAAGATTTGCAAGCTGGCAGGCTATGTGCTTCCGTATGAGTAAGGCACACCCAACTAATGTAAACTTAAATGGCCCCCTACCCCATTTAGACTAAAAAGACTGTAATTTAGAAGGCTTTGTTTGGAATTACTCTTCCTGTAAACCTTCCAAAACTCCACTCATTTAGATGTACCTTGTACCATAAAGATGTCTCTCATTCGAAGGCATAGTAGCAAATAATTTTTAAGCATTCTTGGTATGTATGATGTTGGGTTAAGCATCGTGTGTTCAGAGTGTTTTCAATAAGAAAGTAATCCATCCCTAGGATAGAGGGTGGTTCTGTGTTTGCTTGAAGAAAAAAGTATAAGAATACAATTTGCTTTCCCTAGACTCTTTTTCCTTTTTTTTTTTTTCATGTAACTTGGTGTTTTTTATTTTTCAATCACATCTTGATTAAAATGCATCTATCTAAAGGGATTACTAATATTTGCTTTTTAAAAACTGTTCTCTAGTTATTTAGGGAAAAAATGATGCAAGTAACTGAATTATATGTAAAAATAAGATTTAGACCTGTGGATCAGGGATTATTTTCAAAAATTAGATTATCAATTTGGTATCAGAAAATGGTGGCTTTTCTCATTAGTAAATAAATTAACTAAATGTAAATTAAGAATGTAAGCAGTTGTGATTCATTACAGGCAGTGGGAGGTGACTAACTCCTAGGGATAACCATTTGTATCCTATTCCAAAGTCTTATTTTATAGTTTGAACAGCACTTTGCACACAGTTCTTGTATATAGAAGTAAAGATGTAATTATAGGATATAGCGTTACTGCTTTGTTTAACAAGAACCTCATTTAAAATTTTAAATTGACAGCTGGTATTTTTTTAATGATCTACTTCTTTTCTGTTTCTTTATTGTAAAACTATGTTAAAAATAAAAGGTTAATGAGAAATGTCATGGTTTTTATCGCTTGTTACTGGGAATTCATAGAAATAATCATGTCCTTTCAGAATAGAGCCACGCTATTACATACAATTTTATAAAAGTCCAAAAGTGGGATAAAGCAGAACTCCTTTAGTCATGTGGTTGAGAGTGTTATTAATCCAGTCAAAATCTTAGTTTCCGTTCTTTGACCAAATGGATGGCTTCCCCCAGCCACTCAGTGCACCTGCACTCAGCCAAGGTATGTTAAATAGAAACAGTTGGTCCTTGGGTGGAATATTTTGAGAAGATTTGTGTTTTTTTGGTGTGTTCTTTTTTCTCTAAATATTTTGTTTATTCATTTGAGAGAAAGAGCCCAAATGGGGAGTTGGGGGAGAAAGAGAAACAGACTCCCTGGAGAGCAGGGAGCCCCAGTGCGGGGCTCAGTCCCAGGACCCTGGAATCACAACCCAAGATGAAGGCAGATGCCTAACCGACTGAGCCACCCAGACACCCCTGTGTTTGTTTTTTAAAGATTTTATTCATTTATTTGATAGAGTGAGAGAGAGAGAGCATCAGTAGGGGAAGGGGGAGAAGCAGATTCTTGAGGGTTGATACCAGGGTCCTGGGATCATGAACTGAGTCAAATGCATATACTTAAACCACTGAGCCACCCAGGCACCCCAGGATTTGTGTTTTTAATACAAATACATAACTTACAACTTCTACAGATGGTGGTAAAAGTGATGTTAGCTATTTGTATCATTTAAGATCCCAGCGTTCTGCAGCACGTCCTAAAAACTTAACCGCAGTGGCTTGACCAAGTAAGTTTTGGATTTTTTTTCTCATATATAAGAAGTACACAGGGAACCTGGGTGGCTCATTTGGTTAAGCATTTGACTTGGGGTCACGTCAGGGTCCCTGCTCAAGGGAGACTCTGCTTCTCCCTCTCCATCGGTCCCCTCCCTCCACTCATGTGCTTGAGTTCTCCCTCCTTCTCTCTCTCTCTCTCTCAAAATAAATAAATAAATAATCTTAAAAAAAAAAAAAAAAAAAGTCCAGAGGTAGGACAGGTGCTTCCACGGTTCAATTAGGGACACCGCTTCCTTCCAGTGTCCTGTTCTGCCCTCTTCTTCGTGTGGCTCGTGTCATTGTGCTCGACAGATGGCTGCTGCCTGTTAGGTCTGATGTCTGTTGTACGGGCAAAGGAAGATCTTTACCTGATCAGCAACCAGTAACTTCTTGGAACTCTCACACAGGACACTCCCTCTCCCTATCATTGGCTAGAGCTGGTTTCCTATGGTTACACCTGCTTCTCCCCCTGCCTGCCACTCCCCCTGCTTGTTCTCTCTCTCTCTCTCTCTCTCTCTCTCTCTCTCTGACAAATAAATAAATAAAATCTTAAAAAAAGAAGTGACGCCTGGGTGGCTCAGTTGGTTAAGCAGCTGCCTTCGGCTCAAGTCATGATCCCAGCGTCCTGGGATCAAGTCCCACGTCCGGCTCCTTGCTCTGCAGGGAGCCTGCTTCTCCCTCTGCCTCTGCCGGCCATTCTGTCTGCCTGTGCTCGCTCTCTCTCCCTCTCTCTCTCTGATAAATAAATTAAAAAAAATAAAAATAAAAAAGAAAAGAAACTGCCAAAATGTCTTCTGGAATGGCTGTACTATTTTGTATTCCCACCAGTAATGAAAGGAGTTCTCGTTTCATGTCCATACCAGCATTTGGTGGTATCAGTGTTTTGGATTTAAGCCGTTCTCATGGGTGTGCTGTGGCATCTTGTGATTTCATCCTCTTTCTCTTTGAATTATAGCCTGTAATTTTGATACTGTAGAGATTCTGGGCCATCTGTCCTGCATCTTGGAGAAGGCTGAGATAATAAGGCCAACATCCGGACCTAAGAACTTAGACCCGAGTCACAGTGAATTCAAGTTAACTCTGAAAACGCTACTCTTCTTTTCTTTTTTTTTTTAAGATTTTTTATTTATTTATTTGACAGAGAGAGATCACAAGTAGACAGAGAGGCAGGCAGAGAGAGAGAGAGAGAGAGAGAGAGGGAAGCAGGCTCCCTGCTGAGCAGAGAGCCCGATGCGGGACTCGATCCCAGGACCCTGAGATCATGACCTGAGCCGAAGGCAGCGGCTTAACCCACTGAGCCACCCAGGCGCCCTACTCTTTTCTTTATACAATTTGCTTACATGGATTAATAAATTTCCCTCATTACTTAAGGTAGTTACAGTTAGGTTTCGAACATTTGCAACAGCCAGAGGCCTGACTACTATAGACACCTCTTGATTCTCCAGAGGGATGTGGTGTGCAGGCTGTGGAGCCGCACTGTCTAGGTTAGAATTGCATGCAGTTATGGGAAACTCACTTAAAATTTGTGTTTCGGTTTCCTCATGTATAAAACTTGGGTAATAATATCATAGGGTTAATACATGTAGAGAACAGTGCTCAGGATACAGTAAGTACTTAGTAACTGATTGCTATTGTGATGGCAATACCATTTTGATCATTTCACTATCAGTCCTTTTACAGAAGTAGGACAAGAAGACATAAAATCCAATTCCTGTTCACAGGTTTTGAAAGTGCTATAAAAAAAGATAGACACTGCAAATGTCAGTGCAAAGGTACATTTTTTTTTTTTTTAAATAAGAGCCAGTCTTCTTCATTTATCCTCTGGATGTTATCCCTTTCCTCAAGGATTTTTACCAGATTTTTCTTCCCTGGAAGCAGCTATTTTCATCACTTTTGTTTGATTTTTTTTGGAGGGATACTTACCTCCAAGGTTCTAAATAATATTTTTTGAACCTGTACTCTTTGATCCTTGTGTTAGGAATTATTTGTTAACTTTCCACCACTGAAATTGAAGATCTTGTTGTTTTCCCTTCCTTTACATTCATTGCTCATGTATATCCTTTTCATTTCCCCACCTTTGAAATATAGCTTGTCAAAACTGAAGGGTCTAAGATTGTATGCTACTTGGAAGTTAGCAAGTTTGCCTGGCACAGTATTATGGATGCTAGTAGAACGAAGGAGGGTTTATTACACAGAGCAATGTAGCAGCGAGAGTACTGGCATCTCGGTACTGGTGCTCCCAGCCCCAGCCTCCACAGGGTGACAGGGGAGGCCATATGGCACCTGCACATGGAATGGGCGTGCTTTACAGGAGGGGAGCCCTGACTTTAGGGAACCCGAATCTTTTGTAATGGGTAGTAAGCAGGCCTGAGCTTTACTCCAGATAGAGACCGTATCTTTATTATATTAGTAACTATTCTGCATATACTGCACAAGGAGATAGAATCTCTGTCTTCCAAGGCTGTTCGCCATACAAACATTCTTGAAAATACAGTCCAGAATAAAGGGCATTTTCTCATGTCCTTGTTCACAGGACATGAGAAATGCAAGAGCCATGGAGAATTTTGGTATTCTCACACATTTTTATTACAATACATTTGTACTATAATACATTTGTGTTATAATTATGGTTAGATCAGTATTTATGGTTCACATTATTAGGACCTTGTAAACATTTTTCACAGGTAAGCAATTTATTAAACTGTGATCATTTTCCCTTTCTTGCACAGCTTTTTGTTATTGCTGGAGATAATAGTCTTATTTTGTTTTTATTTTAAGTAGGTTCCATGCCCAATGTAGGGCTTGAACTCATCACCAGGAGACCAAGAGTCACATACTCTACTGACTGAGACAGCCAGGTGCCCCAATAGTCTTCTTCTTTCATTTGTTTAGTCTTCTTTATACTTATCAATAATTTGAACCCCCAATTCTTCCCTAGTTGTCTAAATAACCTTCAGGAGCTGAAAGGCTGAGCCCTATGCCTGGCATACAGCTTTTATCCCAGCCTCACACTTGACCATCATCTGTGAGGGGCCATTTTACCTCTCTCCTCTGTTGGATAGTTGGCTTCCCCTATTCCATGTATTATCTTGGTTTACCACCCCATTTTGATGGAGCATGATTTCTAGAATCTTCCTGAGAAAGGGTTCACAAGAGGTAAACATTTGGAAACTCTGTACATGTGAAAATGTCTTTATTCTTCTGTTTCTGAAGTTTGAAGACATTGCTCGGTTGACTTTTTGTTTATAGTTGTAAAGATTAAGAAGCTTGAAGACATGTCAGATGCTTCCTTTTTTCCTCCACTCTCACACCACTACTATGCTCACAACGCTTCTGACACAAGCTGGGTGTCCTACAATTGAACTCAATTCTGACTTGTTCTCCCTGGAGGTTGTGTCAGATCCTGCAGTGTAAGGGCTCAATCCCAGAAGACTGCCTTCCCCCTTCCCCTTTAGATGCCAGTCCCAAGTCCCAAGTTGACATCTGTGCTTCAGAGCGTTCAGCCATAAACCAGAGGTTCCTGTGACCACCTCCTTACCTTTGATTCATTTGCTAGCACAGCTCACAGAACTCAGGAAAACAGTTTACTGCTTGTAAGTTTATTATGAAAGGACATGGTGAATATACAGATGGAATAGATGCATAGAGGACTGTGGGAAGGGGTACAGACATCCCACACCCTCTCTAGACATGCTGCTCTCCCAGCAACCACCACGTCTTTGACCCAGAAGCTCTCTCGACCCTCTACTTTTGGGATTTTTATGGAGGCTTCACTATATAGCCATGATGGATTAACTCCATTTCCAGCCCCTCTTCCCTCTCTGGAGAATGGGGGTGGGGCTGAAAATTCCAAGCTTCTAATCATGGCTTGGTCTTTCTGGCAACCAGTCCTCACCTAGGAGTCATCAGAACAGAAGACACTTCTGTCACCCAGGAAATTCTAAGGGACTTAGAAGCAAAAACTGGGGCCAAAGACCAGATACGGGAACAAAAGGTGCTCTTACTGCTCTTATCACTTATGAAATTACAAGGATTTTAAGAGTTCTGTGCCAAGAACCAGGGACAGCAGTCAACATATATATTTTCTATTATCTCACACCAGTCTTATGTCTTCCTTTTTGAATATTTATAAGTTCTTCTGCTCCAGTGTCTGAAATTTCACTGCTATAA